CCCGGAAAGTAGATATTTCCCATTTTCTATGATACAAATTTGTTTTCTATGATAATCTACTTCTTAAAATTAGGTATTTCACCAAAACTCGAAAATCTACTTCCCCGAAGTCGATAATCTACTTTCCCAGTAGAAATCTATCTACTTTTCGGGAAAGTAGATAACCAACTTTCGGAAAGTAGCATTTTCTGTGATACAAATTTCCCGTTTTCTATGATAATCTACTTCGCAAAATTAGGTAATATTTCTCCAAAATTCAATCTACTTCGAAAAGTCGATAATCTCTTTTCCGAAAAGTAGAAAATTTATCTACTTTTCGGGAAAGTAGATAACCAACTTTTCCGGAAAGTGAATATTTCCATTTTCTATGATACAAATTTCCCGTTTTCTATGATAATCTACTTCGCAAAAATTAGGTAATATTTCACCAAAACTCATCTTCCCGAAAAGTCGATAATCTACTTTCGAAAAGTAGAAAATCTATCTCGGGAAAGTAGATAACCAACTTTCGGAAAGTAGATATTCCATTTATGATACAATTTCGTTTTCTGATAATCTCCGCAAAATTGGGTAATATTTCTCCAAAATTCGAAAATACTTCCCGAAAAGTCGATAATCTACTTTCCGAAAAGTAGAAAATTTATCTACTTTCAGGAAAATGAAACTTAACTTTCGAAAGTGAATATTTCATTTTCTATGATACAAATTTCCCGTTTTCTATGATAATCTGCTTATAAAATTGGTAATATTTCACCAAAACTCGAAATCTACTTCGAAAAGTCGATAATCTACTTTTCGAAAAGTATCTACTTTCGGAAAGTGAATCTTTCCGGAAGTAGATATTTCCATTTTCTATGATACAAATTTCCCGTTTCTATGATAATCTACTTCGCAAAATTAGGTAATATTTCTCAAATTCGAAAATCTACTTCCCGAAATGTCGATAATCTACTTTCGAAAGTAAAAATTTATCTACTTTTCGGAAGTAGATAACCAACTTTCGGAAAGTAGATATTTCCCATTTTCTGTATTCGTTTTCTATGATAATCTACTTCGTAAAATTGGTATTTTCTCAAAATTCAATCTACTTCCCGAAAAGTCGATAATCTACTTTCCAAAGTGAAAATCTATCTACTTTTCGGGAAGAAGTAGATATTTCCCATTTTCTATGATACAAATTTCCCGTTTTCTATGATAATCTACTTCGCAAAATTAGGTAATATTTCACCAAAACTCGAAAATCTACTTCCCCGAAAAGTCGATAATCTACTTTCCCGAAAAGTAGAAAATCTATCTACTTTTCGGTAAAATAGATAACCAACTTTCCCGGAAAGTAGATATTTCCCATTTTCTATGATACAAATTTCCCGTTTTCTATGATAATCTACTTTGCAAAATTAGGTAATATTTCTCCAAAATTCGAAAATCTACTTCCCCAAAAACTCGATAATCTACTTTCCCGAAAAGTAGAAAATTTATCTACTTTTCGGGAAAGTAGATAACCAACTTTCCCGGAAAGTAGATATTTCCCATTTTCTATGATACAAATTTCCCGTTTTCTATGATAATCTACTTCGCAAAATTAGGTAATATTTCACCAAAACTCGAAAATCTACTTCCCCGAAAAGTCGATAATCTACTTTCCCGAAAAGTAGAAAATCTATCTACTTTTCGGGAAAGTAGATTACCAACTTTCCCGGAAAGTAGATATTTCCCATTTTCTATGATACAAATTTCCCGTTTTCTATGATAATCTTCTTCGCAAAATTAGGTAATATTTCTCCAAAATTCGAAAATCTACTTCCCCGAAAAGTCGATAATCTACTTTCCCGAAAAGTAGAAAATCTATCTACTTTTCGGGAAAGTAGATAACCAACTTTCCCGGAAAGTAGATATTTCCCATTTTCTATGATACAAATTTCCCGTTTTCTATGATAATCTACTTCGCAAAATTAGGTAATATTTCTCCAAAATTCGAAAATCTACTTCCCCGAAAAGTCGATAATCTACTTTCCCGAAAAGTAGAAAAATCTACTTTTCGGGAAAGTAGATAACCAACTTTCCCGGAAAGTAGATATTTCCCATTTTCTATGATACAAATTTCCCGTTTTCTATGATAATCTACTTCGCAAAATTAGGTAATATTTCTCCAAAATTCGAAAATCTACTTCCCCGAAAAGTCGATAATCTACTTTCCCGAAAAGTAGAAAATCTATCTACTTTTCGGGAAAGTAGATAACCAACTTTCCCGGAAAGTAGATATTTCCCATTTTCTATGATACAAATTTCCCGTTTTCTATGATAATCTACTTCGCAAAATTAGGTAATATTTCTGAAAACTCGAAAATCTACTTCCCCGAAAAGTCGATAATCTACTTTCCCGAAAAGTAGAAAATCTATCTACTTTTCGGGAAAGTAGATAACCAACTTTCCCGGAAAGTAGATATTTCCCATTTTCTATGATACAAATTTCCCGTTTTCTATGATAATCTACTTCGCAAAATTAGGTAATATTTCTCCAAAATTCGAAAATCTACTTCCCCGAAAAGTCGATAATCTACTTTCCCGAAAAGTAGAAAATTTATCTACTTTTCGGGAAAGTAGATAACCAACTTTCCCGGAAAGTAGATATTTCCCATTTTCTATGATACAAATTTCCCGTTTTCTATGATAATCTATTTTGCAAAATTAGGTAATATTTCACAAAAAGTCGATAATCTACTTCCCCGAAAAGTAGATAACCGACTTTCCCGGAAAGTAGATATTTCCCATTTTATATGATACAAATTTCCCGTTTTCTATGATAATCTACTTCGCAAAATTAGGTAATATTTCACTAAAAGTCCACCCTGTCCCTCCTGGCCCCCTTGTCCCACCTGGCCCAGGGTGGGCCTCAGACAATCCTTGGTGATTTCATATAACCCGTGGTGATAACAGTCAACCAGTGGTGACCTTAGACTATCCTTGGTGATCTCAGGCAACCCTCGGTGATCTCAGACAATCTCAGGTGACCTCAGACAATCACTGGTGACTTTAGGGTTGTCTAAGGTCACCAGGGGTTGTCTGAGGTCACCATGCATAGTCTAAGGTCACCAGGGGTTGTCTGAGGTCACCATGCATAGTCTAAGGTCACCAGGGGTTGTCTGAGGTCACCATGGTTAGTTTAAGGTCAGCAGGGGTTGTCTCAGGTCACCAGGGGTTGTCTGAGGTCACCATGGATAGTCTAAGGTCACCAGGGGTTGTCTTAGGTCACCAGGAGTTGTCTTAGAACAAAAAGGGTTGTCTGCGATCACCAAGGGTTGTCCAATATCACGAGCGTTTGTCTGAGATCATCAGTGGTTGTGTGAGGTCACCAGGGGTTGTATGAAATCACCAATGGTTGTCTGAGATCACCAGTAGTTGTATAAGGTCACCAGGGGTTGTGTGAGATCACCAGAAGTTGTCTGAGGTCACCAGGGGTTGTGTGAGATCACCAGAAGTTGTCTGAGGTCACCAGGGTTTGTCTGAGATCACCAGTAGTTGTTTAAGGTCACCAGGGGTTGTCTGAGATTACCAGGGGTTGTCTGAGGTCACCAGGGGTTGTCTGAGATCACTATGGGTTGTTTGAGGTCACCAGGGGGTTGTCTGAGGTCACCAGAGGTTGTAAGAGATCACCAGGGATTGTCTGAGATCACCAGGGGATGTCTGAGATCACCAGCAGTTGTCTGAGGTCACAAGAGGTTGTCTGAGATCACCAGGGGTTGTCTGAGGTCACCAGTTGTTGTCTGAGGTCGCCAGGGGTTGTCTGAGGTCGCCAGGGGTTGTCTGAGGTCAGCAGGGGTTGTCTGAGATCACCAAGGGTTGTCTGAGGTCACCATGGGTTGTTTGAGAGCATCCCATGTGTGGTTTTCCAAATTACAATTGTAGCCGAATTTGAAGGAATTATTATTTCACTTTGGTGTCGGTTGGTTGAATCTACCAGCTGCCCGGACTCCGGATAATCAGTTTTCTATTGTACTTTTTCATTTATTTTCCTGTCAGTGAAGCTCATTCTTAGCATTCATCTATAAGACCACATTTCAAGGGCTTCCAACCTCTTTCTGGTGTCTGCTGAAAGTATCCATGCATGTGACCCATACAACAAACCTTGCCATGTAAAGCATTTACAGTAAGCAGCCTTTTTCTCAAACAATTGAAGTTAATATCCCTTTTCATTAGGTCTTTTAGATTATTAAATGTTTTTTGCTAGCTAATGTTACTTTCCAAATACATAGAATTTTCCACTAATCTGTTAAGTTTTTATAACACCTCTTCACTATCTGTGATAAGAGCAACATCATCTGCAATGTGTATACAATAAGGCCTTAAACATCGCGGATTTGACCATCACGTCCTGGCCCTATCTGTGGATTGCACTATGGGTTGCTTGGGGGAGGGAGGTTGTACGTTGTTTGTGACAACTTCTACTACTGGCTGCGAAGGGTCTCTGCGGTGTTGTGGAATAGTTCCTCGTTCCTCACCGTTACCCACACAGCAAGCCTGCATACTGCCTTTCCCTACTCTCACTATGCCTCGTAAATGCCCTGCACCTGCTGGAGTCTCTATTGGCATGCCTGCCAAGGTAAGGAAGGTGCAGAGTATGGTGGAGAAAGTGGAGTTCCTTGATAGGTTGATGAGCAGTATGAGCTATGCTGCCTGTGGTAGCTATTACAGCATGAACGAGTCAAACATTTGCTACTTCAAAAATAAAGGGAGATTCGTGAGTGCATTGCCTCGAGTGCTTACAAGTGCTCCCAGCAAGACACTACATATTAGATATCCTGTTATGAGTAAGATGGAGAAGGTTCTCCGTATTTGGATTGAAGATATGAACCACGAAGTGTTGACTCTTTAATTATCAGGGACAGCTTCCCATGGGTGAACTTTGCGGGGTTTTCATTAGCCTAACCCCCTCGATGTTTAAGGGTTTACTGTATTTAATATTACTGTACATTACCATTAGGGAAAAAAAATATTTGGAAAACCTTTTTATTTATTTTTTTATTTTCAGGTAATGAAATACAAAAAATCAAACATATTGGACACAAGTCAAAATGATGTAACTAAGCATTATTTATAAACCAGTACAGTATTAGTTTTTGGAGATAAAGAAATGTGGCAAATGACACCAATGCCAAATTTGTTCAGCACACAGGAACCAACTTACATCCTTCCTCACATAAACTTTGATCCAAAAATGATTGACCAGATATGTACGGTTTTTCATACCTTTCAACAAGGTAAAATTATCTGCATACATAAATTTCCAACAAATGCTTCTGATTTGTGACAAACCAGTTAAAATATTCACACAAAAAAGTGGGACCTGACCTCGTATGATATTTAGAGCACCACACTTTTGATAAAAGGATTCTACCATATGATATCAATGTATTACAAGCCTATACTTTTCTTTATCTCGTATACCATTAAAAAAATCAATGGTAATATCCTTAGTAAGATCAGAATTATGAGTGGGTTTTTAATGGGAATTGTGTCCAGTAAATGACCATAAGAAACTGACATGAACTAAAGAGAAGCAATACAGTACTCTATCTCTAACAGCATCTCTTGCCTTAAGGTGCATTCAAACATTTCTTACAATGACATATACATTAAACCTCCATCTGCATCTCTTGTATTAACACTGGTTCTTAAAATTATACTTTTGATAATAAAATATAAATTATTAAATTGCCACAAATTTTCTTAATCATGAACAAAATCAAAGCATATGAAAACAGAGCATCCGTGGAAAGGACTTATTGCATTCACAGTAACAACATAACATAAATCACTGAGGTACAGCATGACATATTCATGTGGTTCTAGACAGAGCAAGTAATTAGAAACCAGTAGTGTTGCTCCCACACAGCACGTTCCTACCTGACCTTGTGGCTAATACTCTCTACCTGATGGAAATGAGGCCAGACTGCAGCAGCTTTTGAATCTTGGAAGCAACATCAGGATTCTTCAAATGGCTGCAATTATAAATATATAAATATTAGAACCCTACATCTACTTGAAAACTGAATCAACTACATTACTAACATTGACAAGAAAAGAATTCTCAGCAATGACCAAAGGAATACATTTAGTACACTATTCAGGTACTAGATCAGTATTCAAATCTGTAACTTTAGTTATAGTTATGGTCATAAATTAAAACTTCCATCATCCATTTGATCAGCTTAAATTTGTCACATGATTAAGTACTGTACAGAGTCCCATCTACAGAATGGTATCTTTCACACACACCTTATATCAAAGCCAAGGAGTTCTTGGAAACGTGATGTTAACCGAAATGGACGTTGTCCGAAATTACATAAACCTATGGGATTTATTCTGATTGGTTCCAGGCACCCAACCCAAGTTTCCCATTTTATCCCACTAAATAAATAAATAAATAAATAAATAAATATATATATATATATATATATATATATATATATATATATATATATATATATATATATATATATATATATATATATATATATATATATATATATATATATATATATATATATATATATAATATGTTATGGTAAATATCATAAACACACATAGGCATGGCTAGGTTTATTACAAAGTGATGAAAAGGATACAATCAATACTGTACAGTGGGTAGTCCACAAAACATGTAGCTATGTCTCTCTTTATTTGAGTGCCCTGTCAAAGGAGTCCGTTTTCTCTCACTTCAGGATGCCTGAGTCGTCCGTTTTCTCTTAATCTTAGAGTGCAGTGCACCAGAGACTTCGTTATTCCTTAATAATGACACAGAATTTGAAATTGCAACCCCAATTGCAACTGGCAACTAGATATGTCTGATTACAGCAAATGTGTTATTGTCAATTTGTAGGCGAAAAATTTTATCCTCAATAGATGTAGGTTAACATTACACCTGGAGGCAAATGCCTAAGGAAGGAAGGATATTCCTTTAACACAAAATATCTGGCCAGTATGGGGAGGATCATCGTGTCTCCGTCAGGGTGTCGTGGAGTGGTGGTCCAGCAGGCGTTAACCGGCTCATGACTGTATATATATATATATTAAAAAATTACGAGTTTAAAAATAATGATAACACAGCTTGGCCTGGTAGGGGGATGTAGCTACAAGAACAGTCTAACTTGGCAACATGTCAAGTCCACACATTCACTCCGCACACAAATACTCATGCGGTTAATTTTTCTTCATTTACAGCAACACGCTACCGTACTGTACTTTTTGATATCCTATGTATTAATAATATTTTTTATTATAGCAATTTTTGTTAACAAAGTGGTGGCAGAAACGTGTAATCACTATAATGTGTAGAAATCGGTTGTCAAGTAAATTGAATGCTACTGGGAAGAATTTTAAACAAGGAGGAGAATGCAGATTGGCTGTGAGCATACATGAGTGCGTCACTCTCAATGGTAAGCAAGCATGGCCGCTGTCGGCGAGTAGGGAGTTCAGTATTTTGTCTTATATTATGTATTTTCATCTTTTTCCCCCCCCCTCCCAAGTAAAAAAATAACTCCAGGAAAGGACCACAGAGCTCTATAACAAACCAGTGTTAAGCAGGGTAGGGCTAAATGGGGTATTACTGTAATTATGTGATAATTTGGCTACGAATGGTCCGATATATGTTTACTTTAACGGACCCGAGTCTGTAATATATGAACCTAGTCCCAACAGGTCAGTACAGGTATGTCTGTTATAGACGGTGTCCATTATGTCTGGGGTTTATTGTACAGTATCCGTATTTGCTTCATCATTCTATACTACTTCTACACTCTTTCAAGGGAAACTTTGTACTAACTGACGTAACCAATTATGAATTGTGAAAGGGCGAGATGAGGTGGTGAGAGGTATGAGGTGTGGTGGGAGGGTTTGGTAATGGTGTAGTTAGGTCAGAATCGGTCGACAAAGATACGTGGGTGGCAGTCACATGTGAGGGTAATGACTCATCCCCACGCCCACCCTCCACAAGCCTGAAGCATGGTCCTGTAATGTGTGGCTGGGTTGACAGTTTTGCCAAATAATTGGCTTAGAGGTGTATGAAATGCTGCATAAGAATAAAACTATTTGTGATGTGTGTAAGGCCACAAGGTACTGGTAACATTTCAACTTTGATATATCTGTGATCGGCAGCAGCTGACTCCTATTATTTATCAAGGATAAATCCGTGACAGACACCCAGCCAGTTACTGTCACCCTTTGTTTTTATTTCCATATGATTTTACTTATTTTTCTGGGTATCAAGGCAACACCACTGCAGCAAGGTCTTTCTATGCAGTGTGTCACTAGGATTGCCAGATATTACCTCCAAGAAGAAGTAGAAAAAAAAATAGTGGAGGGAAGGTCATAGGGAATGAAAAGTTGCCACGAGTCACAATAAATCATCCGAACAGAAATCAGATGCCACATTTAAGAATTATGGTTGAGAAAGATTATGTTTATAATGATGATCATCATTGTGGGAGAAAAAGTACTCGTCACCTATTTATGATCAGCATCGGTTAAGGCAACTGATTCTTCAAACAGTTTGAAATTGAAAGTGGAACATGTTTTCAAAATAATATACTTACTCCTGAAGAGCTCGTGGATCAGTCTGCATTTGTTCCAGGATCATGCGCATGGCTGGATCCTTCAGGATTTGCTGTACTTCTGGGTCTGCCATAGCTCTTTTCCGCACCTGATTAAAACAAAACAAAAACACATATTTACCTAGAAAAAAATAAGAATCACTAATAATGTAATATTTATCAATCCAGTAATTCTGTCAGTAATACTCCAATCACTTCAGTCCAACTAGAACTAAAAATAAAATAAATGTGTAACAAGCTGTCAAGGTTCTTGCTGACTTACTTCCTCAGGGTCGGTGTGAACAGCCATCATACATTCACGGAAACCATCAAGAGCGTCCTGGCAGTTTGCATCAATATCAAGAGCTTTCTGGTAGGAATCCTGAGCCTTGGCAAATTGTTTCAGCCCTTGGTGGATTTTGCCCTTGCGAATATAACCTTTAACTGAATGAGTAAATTGTACGTGTATTAGTCGACTGATTTAAGTACATTTATGAAAAATAAAAAAAATACACATACCAGGTTATAGTTTTATAATAATGAACATGTCAGTGGGAGGTGTTGAACCTTGACCCCCTTTTGTTAAAGTTGTCTTATTTGAAGAGAATTCTTCATCCAGAAACAGATGGTTACGATTTGTGGCTTCCCTGCCACCTGTTATTCAAAGGTCTTTGTTTTGGTTGTTTTTGGAGCTATGGACGTAGCTGGGTGCAGCTTGGACCAGCTCAGTGTATTTTGATGCAATTTAATTGTTTGCATAATGTAGTTTGTGGATCTTTCATAAAGGTAGCTTTAAAAAAATTTTAGTGAAGTTTTCATGTGGCAATGATGCTGATTTTATTTGTATATTGTAAGAAGCTTGTTTGTGTCCAGTGTGATGTTGAAAATGTTAAGGTGTTTATCTAGAGGTAGTTAATGATGAAAAAGTGTAACAAGCATGGGGCTTTGGGGCCAGAGGCATAGCACCGACTTCATCTTTGAAGCCATAGGCCTGGATTATCTTTACACAAACACACTGACCATATTATAAAATTGTGTTCAGATCATATTAAATCAAATATAAAATTAGCAGTTGATCCAAGGCAACACAATTTGGACCTGACTTGATAAGTGGCATGGTTTGTCTTGTCGGTGCCCACACGAGAAAATATTGTCACAGGTTGATCAGGTCAGAGTCTCTATCCCAGGTAGTGCCGGGGAGGGTAAACTGTAAGTGAGGTCAGGTCAAATGCGAGTTGGCCATGCAACCTTGATCCGACCTTACGCAAACTGAGATTCACACGGACATCACAAGTCATCCCTACTGGTCTATTCTCACAAGGACCTGACAAACATCTGAAGAGATCAAAGATACTAAACCGTTGCTTCTGTGATTTGTGACTGTAAATTACTAAGATTAGGTATGGTATTGTGGATAACAAATTTAGATAGATAAATTGTTACCATAAGTAGCCTTTTTCAGTCTCTAGGGAGAGTCAAAACTTACCACAAGAACCATCAGCTTAAATAATGTCAGCTTATTTCAAAGCCTTGCTGTAACTTAGTACTGTATACTCTACATATTCCCATTGACATAATTATAAGGTAATACAATTTATTATATAAATAATGGTGTTACTGTTTCATGAAGTCTTGAAAAACCTTGGCTTTGGCCTTGTGACCTTTTTTTAATGTCTGGCTTCAGCTTCATCCCCATGCCTGGGGTGTACCGGAGCCTCTTGTCTATCTGGGGTAAAGAAGAGTCAGTAAATTCTGATGGTGACGTTGTCAAGCAGTTTTGACTGATCCATCATTCTGGTATGTATGTATTGTTGAAACAGATTGAGATTTTCTGTTGGAAAACTATCTTAAGTCGTCTGCACCTGAGAGCAATAATAAGTTGGGTGGGAGGCAAGGAAGGTCTTGGAGGAATAAGCTGAAAGTGGGAGATAAGAAGCCTCGAGGGACCCCATATCTGGTTTACTTAATACTTTTTATAATGTTTGCATCCATTATTATTACCTATCAGGGGTGACAAATGCTCTTATTTTGACATTTTGTGTCAACACATTTATGGAAACTCTTCTTTTTTGAACTGGCCAAAGCCAAAAGTGAGACAGTTTTATGAACATAGTAAACAGTGTCTAGCCACAATATACAGAGTAACCAATTAAACAATACTTAGTGATTAAGATGCATCTTCAATGTATTTGATATATTAAAAAAAAGCTTAATTATGACAATTAACATTATTGATAAAAAAATAAAATACCAATGCACCATCACCAATTTTGAGATATTAAATACTTGTATTAAAGAACAATATGTTTACAGTACTCACTAAAGTCTGGCTGGAGTCTGATGCACTCATCACAGTCTTTAAGACCTAAGCTAAACTCTGCCAGTTTGGTGTAACAAGCAGCACGGTTACTATATATTTTGGCTTCCTCAGGATTACGTCGTATGGCCTCACTGTAGTGTTTGATTGCTGATGGGTAATCGCCCTTCCTGAAAAACTCGTTGCCCTTCCCCTTCTCCACTTCAGCCTTAGCTGGATCGATGTATGACAATCGTTCCTGCTCTTTTATTACCTTTTCCAACTAGAATGGAGGGACAAACAGGTTAATATGTATGGCATGTCTAACAAATATATCATAAAATAGGAAATTCGAATGGTAACTTATGTGCATTATTCATAAATACACCAATCTCAAATAAGGGAGATTCACATGTGCTACATTATAATTTAATTGTTCCCAGACTCCCAGTATAGGCTGCAAAGGATATGCTTGGCCAAGTTCCCTTATCTAAATGTGCAACCTCATTTCCAGAGGACCAAGATCTTTTGAATTCAAAGTTTATGCACCAACATCCTACAGCCCAATTCATCAACTGTCTTTTCTCTTCATGAGAAATATCTCACACTTCTTTCCAAGTTCCTCCTGGGATAAAAGCTTTGAAAACCATGAATTAATATCTTTTATATGAATTACGATAGCCAGTTGGCCAATTCAAGCGCAGTCAGTCTTCCTCAAGTTTCCCAAATCTAGTATCTTTTGAGATATATAGCTTTCTATTTCATTCATTCAGCCCAGACTCTACCTTCCCTGGCTCTCCTGAATTAAATTTTACCCCAAAACACCTCTACCAATACTGCCTCATCCCATATCATATGGCCAAAGCCTTGATTTTCTTATAATTCCCAATACTGTACAGTAATCCCTCATCAACAGCAGTTTTGATTATCCATAATTTATACTGTATTTTGTACACTGTTTTACCAATCATGGCATCCAGTTTCGAGTATTTGGAGCCTCCAGGAGATTTCTATCCCAGCACAACGGAATATTTGCTGGATCAGTTCCATCAAGTGATTCACCTTATTCACTTCCTCTTTTATGCTCCTTGAAGGGACAATTACTTAAAACCTACCGGGCTCAGATCCTCTTCCTTCTCGACTTTTAATCAATTTGTTTATTTCCATCCTTTACTTAAAGGACTACATAGCTCTCTACTGTGCTGGCAATAGTCATCACTTAATTTAGAACTCTCAGGGTGGGGGGAGGGGGGGCAACCCCTCATGGTCTAGGTGCAATAAATTCATCCAGATTTTATAATGTACAGTGTAGGGTAAGTATTTTGTGAAATTAATATTTCTTTGAAAAATTGAGGCAAATAATATAATTTACATTGTGAAAGTTTTATATTTTCCAATGCCAACAAAAACTCCATTATAATATAAGCATATATAAAAGTATGAGAATTAATGATAAAAAAGAAAAAGATATGTGCTACATCCACAAGTACACAATCTTGGGGTTAACATGAGATGTGTGGGTGGCTGCCACCTGTACAAAACAGATACAAATCAACTCCAATATACCCGGCTCTTACATGGATGTTCTCTGCCATTGCACATATTACTCCTTGTGTGTGTGTGTGTATGTGGGTGTATGCTGTTCATACACAAACTTATGTATGAACACCTTGTAGGGTATAAAAACTTCACCTGCACTGCTAGGGAGAGTTGAGGTCTGGTGCTATTTAAATGCCTGTTCAGTATCTTCAAACAATGAATTTTTTCTTAATTGTACACATCCTTGAGATACTTTATAGGACTGTAGGTATATCTCCCAGGGGTCACTTCCCAATCCCTTTAGACCCAGCCCTTGACAACCATGGGAGAAATCTAAAAAGTAACCTCTAGGGATGGTGGGGATTACTGTGCTTCTCTGGTTGTTCTTGCCTATCTACGTATCATCTGTCCTATTCATGAATTCTTAACCTTTTTTTTTAAGGCAGAGCATTATCCAAACAATGTCCCCACCTACAAATATTAGACATGAAGATTTAAAAATTGTAGGAACTTTCTTACCTTACTCAATAATTCTTTTGTGTCAGGTGTGCGGTGCTCGGATAAAGATTTTTCATAGAAAGTCTTTGCCTTTCCAAAGTCCTGGAAAAATTAAACATGGAGCAATATATGAATCAGTCAAACTTTGGTAACATAATTTGAAATTCAGAAAATTCAATACAATACAGCATTTAGTTAAATAATCAAAATGTCACACATCAATTATGAAGCAATGACATACAAGTTATGTTTTCATGACCTAACATAAAAGGATCTAAGGTGCGAGTCACTCAACACTAACTTACCTTAAGAGCTTTATAGGCATTACCAATTCTAGTAAAAGCTTTTGCTATAAGCTTGAAGTCCGCTCTATTTTCTCTCCCAACTTCAACAGCTTTCTCACAGGTAGCAATGCACTGTTTGTAATCTTGCATCTCAAAATAAACAGCTGCAAAAAGTAAAGAATATTATCAATTAAGTTCAATATATCCCATGAAAAATGTTAGTGTTCACACACATCTATGCTCAGAGTACCATCATTTACAACAACTTTCATTCTTGGACACTCCCCTAGGTAAGAGGATACAACAACCAAGGCCTCAACATGACAGTGAACACTGTCACATTCTTCTAATCATATCCAGTCACAGATGGAAATTCTAATATGGGAATGTAGAGCATTAACCCGTCCCAATGACACTACCCACACCCAAAATCTGAGGCCATTATGCTCTCTGACACAACCATCACCCACTTTCCTACATCATGATTCACACCACATGCTCCAATCCTCGTCCACTTTCATGTGCTTTAGCTTACCGGCTTTGTTACTAAGAAAGGTCATCTCTTTGGGGTCAATCTCAATGGCTTTGCCATAATGTTGGAGTGCAGTCTGGAAATCTTTCTTCTTATAAGCAGCATTACCAGCTTCCTTCTCCTTGAAAGCCTGCAATATATAATAAAAGTTATTGACTGCAAAATATAATAAAAGTTAATGATTTCAACATGATAATAAAAGTTAATGACTGCAACATAAAATAAAATTTAGCAACACGATAACAAAAGTTAACGACTTCAACGACAATAAAAGTTAACAACTTCAACATGATGAGTTAAAGAATGTGTTAATTTTTGTTTATGCATCATATCCTTTGATATAAGAATGGGTTATATATATATGTAACAACGAATGGGAAAAATAGGGTTTGGTTCCCGAATGACAAAAAACATGAAATTGGTTCACAAACAATAAAAACTAATGATAAATAGTACACAACTACTGTATTTTACTGTCTAACATATTAAAGATATTAATAAAACACTATCTAGATGAAAATATGAACTAAACCCATTAAGGAAGTTTAACACAGCCGCCATTTGTACAGACACTGGCTGTCACACATGGCTAGCCTCGCCGCCTCTGTGGACACTTCAGCAATGACCCCCCCCCCCTTTCACACACAAAGAAATATTATTCCATTTATGTTTTTGACCATATGATTTTTTTGGGGGGGCATATTCTGTAGGTAGGATTGTGTGTGCATGTAAAAAAATAGTTATCGTATGTTCATATACTGAATACCCTAAATTACGAGTTTAAAAAACCATCACAGAACTCCATCCACGGACTGGTAGGGAGAGCACTAGGGGGAGGACTCCCGGGGAGCACGGGATTTGAATTTTTGCCAGGGACCAAATATGTGTAAGTGGGGGAAGCTTTCATAGAACAAAAAGAGATGAAAATTTAGGAAATTGTACAAGTGAACTTTCGTATCTCAAACGTAAGTATAGGTATAGCGAGGTGTATATATACACACATGTAAAATCCTCTTAATCCAGATTGAATCCGGATCTATCCACATGGTGGCAAAAAATAAATATACACCTTCAGTAAGTTGTTGGCTGTAATACTTGTACACTGCACGACTCAAATCACCAAATGCAGCATTTTGCACACAAAACACTTTTTTGTTAACCAACAGCAGCTTCAGTTTCCTACGAGACCTTCTTCACTTCATCTTTGTTCCAAATAAGATTGTAGATGGTAGTTTTTTCAAGTCATATATCTCCCTCAAAACTTCTGCAGACACTTTTCTCATAATCTTCCAGAACTGCTGGCTTGTCCTTCAAGCTAAACTCCTTTCTGGTCCTCTTCTGACATCCTTTTGAAGTTGTCTTGCCTTTAGAAGCCATGGTAATTACTCGTCACAAATAGTCCGCGCTCGGTGGTGCACACACGAGGGCTGTGGCAGCATGACTGGCGTGTAAACAAAGCGGCTGGGGCTGGCTTTGTGTGCGCCAGACAGCAAACCAGATTTTTCTCGGGTAATTCAGACTTTCCGGATTAAATAAACCCCCTTTGGTAATCGCTTTATCCAGAAATTTGAAATTCGCTTGATATGGAACCTTCCCTCCAATTAGCCTGGATTAAGAGGGTTTTATATATATAGTGTGTACAAAACCAGCGAGACAAAATGTCAAATGTCAATACAAACCCAAATGCCTATCATTCAAATTTCACAATAGGCCTTAAGTAATACTGCAAAGTTCAATGAATACAAATGGAAAGATCTCATATCAACTAAATATTCTGTTTACATTTTAACTTCATACATATTTCAGCAACTCATAAAACAAACTTGGTATACTTTGCTTTCCATGGCAACCAACCAGGATTATGCGTAAAGTTAGTTTCCTGCTAACAGGTGAAACTTGTACCACTGACCACTGGTGATCCCAGTGGGCTACACTTATCTAGTAATACAGTATTCTTGTAATCTTTAACCCTTCATTTGTTCAGCTCTTAATTTTTTACTAAAGACAAACTTTAAGAAATCAAAATGTAATAAGGTATTTAGCATCATGTTACATTCTGTCAATGAACACACACACACACACACACTCTAGGAATGAAGAACAGCACTGAGGTGGTACTGTCTAACAAGGTTGTTTATGTGGGTGATTATGCAAGAGTGGTGCAATAACCATATGTCTGGAAGAGATTCTGCCTCAGCTGCTCTTCCAGAAAGCAGATAATGCCCAGGTTTCATACTTTTGACTCTTTAGGTGCTTTATCAACTTCCATTTTTTCTTCTTTGGGTTTTGCTGTTGGGTTTTTCTTGTATGCGGCAGATAACCAAGGTTCATCATCATCTGAATCCTCTAATTCCATTAACACAGTCATTGTTTCCATTACTCTTTTATCCGTTAAATGTTCACTGTAAAGAAAAAGAGGTGGAACAATTAGTGAACTTCAAGTTATATGTTAAAGTAGAATTAATAAAATACAGCAATGCACATGTCTAGCTGGAGAAGTGAACTGAACAGTGCAAATAAGTGACTATAAGACCGTTTCTGTCTAAAAAATGTTTGATTACAATTGTCTTTAAAGGAACATTTCTTTTTTGGTTCCATTCCTACAAATTTTTCTTACAATATAGAATAGCCATACTAATAGGTATGTTGCTTTGTAAACCTCCATCTAATGCCCAGTTTATGACCTTCACACTCACACGTGATATCCCTCATACTATCAAAATTTAAGAATAACCAAAGTACTGTATTATAGTATATAGTCAGTTCTCCTGTAATGCGTATTTTCATAACGCGATGAAGAAATTTGGAAAGACGTTTCCTATAAAGAGGATACGATCTGAATATAACGCAATCGAGTAAACAGAACTATGGAACTCAAGTAGAAATAAGCAATTATGTGGTCACCTCAGCATAGCTTCCCACCTTGGCAGTCTTTGTTTTTTGTTTGTTTTTCATACCCATCAGACGTGTTATTTCGTACTGTGCTTTATCTTATTACAAGTGCTGTATTCAATGCTATTACAATGAGTTGCAAGGGTGTGTGTTCTGGCAGTGGTGTTAGTGGAAGTGAAGTAAAACAAAGGAACACTATTACCTTGAACAAAACACTAAATGCGATAAAACGGCATAAAATGGAGCGAAAGAACACGTGACAATTCAAGCAATGGGACTTTCCGAATCCACTCTATGCACTATGCCAAAATAAATAGATAAATAAATAAAGGCAAGTTGTAGGAGAACTGACTGTATCAAGCAATGTCCAACAGCAAACTAAAGCTCAGGTTTATTTCGAGCTGGGACAAATACTGTTTGAAGTCTGAAATGACATGGTTCAATTGTAGTGCACAATAATGTTATAATTCAAGAGTGTAATGAACCAATTTAAGAATTAATGATAAATTCATTAAGTACAACAAAACATTACAATGGTTATGAAAATGATGGGAATCAGCACAGGCTTTCCAGCAAGTCCTGTAGGTGCATTAAATATATATGCTGTTGATGTGTTATTGTAAAATAAGCATATAGCTAGAACAAACAAGTATACAAAAGCAAATGGCCTTTTTATCATCCAAAGGCAAGTGGGCACTATTCTTTGTCTGATAACTTGATAATTTTAATGAGGCAGATGATTAGCATTCAGATAAAGCAAGTCGGGCATCTCCAGTCCTGGACAACTTCAACAAAAGCCTACTGAAGGGTAACTAAGCAGAGTCCTGGTGATTATAAAACCAAACATAATTCAAGTCAGGGATAATACTGTACACCATTGACTATCAAAGTACATACATGGCACATTTCCTGTAAATCATGTTAAGACCTTAATATCACACCAATGGAAAGTATCACAAACTACAAAAATCTTGAGGGGCAAAAACTTACAGAAGAAGACGTGGATGCTTCACGATTTCTTCCATTAAGACTGCAAAATCTGGCTCCTCCATGTACTTACTGATTCGAGGGTTTGCCTTGATTTGTTCAATACAGTTGTGGTTATGGAATGGGTTTAACATCTTGCCTCCACCTTGTTCCATAAGCTGTCAAGTATTGCCATCATAAATATAGAACACTCACACCTTTATGTAAATGTAAGAATACAGGATATACTGCAGGTATATTATATAGTCATCAGAACACACACCTTTTTGTAGGTTTAAGATTACACTGCAGTTACAATACAGATCAATCATAACTCACACCTCTATGAAGGTTTAAACTTATGTTTATACTGAACTGTGTCAGAGAATGCCCGAGAACAAGCACTTACCAGAGACAAAATAATTAAAGACTTTCATAAACACAGCATTATGATCTGATATTATAGTGATTTAAACACTCTCCCTTTATTAACTTTCATACTTTCTCTCCTACAGTAATTGCAAATGTATTCTTCTATGGTATTCCCCTTCCATAACAAGGCCTAAAGTTATCATCTGTTGACACATAACCTAATATCACTCAACAACAGCATATCCAGCCCACCATCTCTTCACACTATTTTCTTGCCTCAAATCTTATAACCTACTTAGTTTTGTTTTATAATCAGTGATTCTTCTTGTACAGTTGTGAAAATTAGTCTGTTTATGTTGTACAGCTTGAACCTCAGCAAGCTTGGGACCATACTAATACCAAGTCTGTCAGATAAAAATCATACCAAACTATCGAAGCTGCCTAATTATTGAATCCCGAACTACTGAGGTTCAACCTGTATTTTGAAACTCACCTTTCTTCTGACATCAGCTACTGACTCTTTCAGCTGTTGATTAGCAGGGTCTATGTGAAGACCCTCCAGATACGTTTCTAGAGCCTGGGGTAACTTTTTTAAGAGGACTAAGGCAGCTCCCTTCCTTGAGTATCCCTGCAATCAAGGTTTATTAAAGACAGAGAATCAATACATTTGTCAATATATGCACTTAAAATAATATCCTCCATTTTCTAACAATTAGTAAAGGTATATACTGTACAGTAGACCATTACCAATCGCGAGGGATAGGGCCCATGAAATGGCTCGAAATGGCAAAACCGCGAATAGCAACTTATACTACCTTAGTGCACTACTGTATTCCTATACCAAACAACTGACCAGCCATGGCAGCACTCATCTCCTCTTTTAACTTATCTAATAAAACTTTCTTTGTCAGGGTCATCACTCACTTCTGCCTTTTACATTTCATTCCACTAACATCACAAGCACCGACACGAGGCAGTCTTTTAGGGGCAAACTCGTGAATGGCAAGGGTCTACCGTACACTGAATGATTCAATATTTTGTTTATTGGGAAGTATTATGATATTAAGTGAAGAAAAAATGAGTCCTGTACTGTACTAGCAAGGAGAAACAAACATATGCAAGAACACAAGATAGCTACATCATGCAGTGGAAGAAGAGAAGTTTGGGGAGTTGAAGAACACAGGAGAGAGGATCTTGGTTGGTAAATTAAAAAGAAGAAATTAGATTACGGTTAATACCAAAGTATTGTACTGTACATAAATAAAGATACAAAAATCTACTTTTGTTTAGTTAGGCAACACCAACTTTGACCATTTAACCACAAAACTCAATACTGTAGCTGCCTACAGAACCTGGTGGATGGCCTTGATCTCTAATAAATTACAGTACTTCCTAAACAGAATGTGTAGAGTACAGTACCTAAGAAATATTCTGTTCTTCTGTACAATGTTACAAGTGTTGTAGTCTTGTCAACAATCCAGACTACAGTAAGATCTCATATTTCGTGAGATTTCATTTTGCGTCTTTGAATTTCGCGAGCACTACCTAATGTAACCAAGTCTTGTATTTGGAGTAAAATAAAATGAGTTTCACGAGATCCAGCCAGCTGAATGCTGGCCACCGTCTTGAATGACGTCACAGGCTCACAGCCCTCATACCAGTTAGTCATTTCTGCTACAACTCGTGTTTTGTCAATGCGAATTGGTTGTAACGCAATTGATGAATAGGGGAACGCTGTTTGCAAAATGCAAACTTTTGCATATGAATTTTGGCTAGCACGATTCCATCCTCAACGTTTTAAGCGTGGCACAGGGTTATGCAATGTTTACAGTTCACGTTTGACATTACATGTTCAATTGATTCCTGTCTTTTTTGTGAAGTGTTTTTTTGAGAGGTACTCTATGAATTTGGTTCTTGTTTGTTTTTTGTTTTGTTTTTGCAAATTTAGCTGTTACCCATAAATACTGTATGAAAATAATAAGTAAAAAGAATGTTTCGCAGAGAGGACTAGTAACGGTTTACACCAGCGATCTCTGTTTACATCACGTGATCATTTGACTCACGCGATTTGTCGATTGCTCCGTGATTTTCGCTGTTTTCTCCAATTTTGTTGTGTTAGTGATGAATATGGAAAGACAAGGTAAGAAGCAGGTTTCCAAGAAGCGTTCTGTGATCGAATTGCCAGCGGGGAACGTAAAAGAGGTCTACAAGAACGTAACTATCGCATTGTAGCCCGCGCCACCCTAGCGACCGCCCGGGCTGCTATTGTGTGCCTTTTTGGGTGGTGCTACTACTTGTCGAGTCAAGATAATGGCCTCTACCTCTACTGGGGGTCCTACCGGTGCTGGTGGGACAGACTCACCTAATTGGCAAAATTAGGAAAAGGAGAAGCGGGACTATCATAAGGGAGTTAAGTTTGCCAAGTACTTGATGCAAGATAAGCAGCGTGTGATTAAGTTACTTGAGGAAGGCCTAAAAACTAGTTTCCGGAAAGCACAATCGGGTCAATAAAGGCAGAACTTGTATCATTTGGAGGTTATAAATGGGAAAATCAGAGGTTGATGTAGAGTGGCCAGTCTATATTGTCATTCTTCCCATTAGTTTGACGAATTTGAATTTGGCGCAATTTTTCCAGTCTATATTACTCGCAAAATACAAGATTCTACTGTATACCAAACTACCCAAAAATCAATTGAGACCTTCCTCTCTCTGTGAGCAAGAAAACTGCACAAAATTATGTTCACAAGGATTCACTGCACTGCCAAAGATACAGAAACAGTCAACATGTGCCTCACTACATGGGAAACACGGTTTTCACACATACACCTCAACAGGTGCATGCATAAGATTACTGCCACCATATTCACCAGTCTAACTGAGACAGCTAATTGCCCAATCATGAGCAAGCAAAGCTTTTCTAAATTGAATTTCAGTTTAAACAGTCATGTTACTTTTTTTTTCTTAGTAAATTTATTCTGCTAAAAAGTAGTGGCAGAATGTTTGGACAGTTATTTTGTAAATACTGTACAGTAAAGAGAACATATGCAACCAGATGAGCAAGTGAGTGACCAGTCTATGTTGTTAACACCTTGTGTCTGTCGATTTGTGGCCACACCCTGTGCCTTTGTCGTGGCACAGGGTGACCAAGTACAGTTCCTAAAAGTTCTAGTTGTTGCAACAATTATCTTGACCTTTGACCTAATGATCAGAGAACTGATAGTCACCTCCCTAACAGTATGGTCAAGAAACTTAAGTTTGGGTTAAGATGCCAAAATGTTAACACAGAGCAATGTGTCACTAAGTACTGTACTCCACTTACTGACATACAATACACAAGTTGTGAATAACACATGATATACAGGAGTAATAAGAGCTCACACATCAACACATATCAAAATCAAAACATATATTAAGCATACCAGCCACTAACACTACACAACACCTTGACATGAGCCAAAGATGCACTACAGCAGCTATAACCATGCAATAAAATAGTCACTGGTAAACAGTGGAACAGAATTCTCATAAAAATCGAAATTTTATTTAGACCAATGGTTCCCACCGGGTTTCCCCAGTACATATGGGTTCCGCAAGCATCCCTACCACGGTTCCGGATAATTAAATAATAAAAAATAAAAGCTCAGCAATTTATAATTAATAAATAGAACTCCTAACTTGAGCTTGGTATTAAAAATACTGAGAGATAATTATATTTTTATGTACGGTAATTTAGTAGTTAGTTTGCATGAAAGGGAAAGAATAGATGGAGATGATTAGGGTCCCTGAAAGTATTTCATGTGGCTTACTGGGTTCCTTGACCAAGAAAATGTCGGTAACCACTGACTTTGAGTACACAGTATAGCTGGGAGAGGTTTGTTAAATGAGAGGAAAAACAGTGATAAGTTTTATAAGAGCATTTAGCTACCTTTGGCCAGTCAGGTTTGAGCTCTATCACTTTCTCAGCATCTTCCAAAGCCTCGTTGTACTTTTCCATCTTGATAAAGGTAGCAGACCTGCATTTGGGTTAGGGAAAGACAATGAAATCTTAAAACTGGCAACTGAACATCTTTAACATAATACCAAATGTTTAAAAATAATCCAAATTTAAAAATGAAATACACAGAAAGTGCAGCATCCTCCCCCTCCCAACTAACCTGTTGCTATAAAGGACATGATTCACAGGGTCAAGTTCAAGTGCCTTTGTGTAGTGAAAATGTGCTTCATGCAGTTCTCCTGATTCCATGCATTTATTTCCACGGTCCTTCATGTGTGTTACCTAAAGAAGAAAGGGCATTTTAACAAAACACTGTAAAGATACAAACTAATAAATAAAAAGGACACAGCCTCTCACTAACAAACCTTGTCTTGAATACTTCACTTCCCACCACTCTCTCTCTCTCTCACTTTCATCTTGTCTTGGTCTGTCCTTCCATTACACACAGGTCTCCCATCTTTAGAACCCATTTCTTTATTCCCTCATAGCCATGGATGTTGTTGCCATTACTTTAACCAGTAAATCAACTAGCAATAAGGCTTTACTAATCATTCATGAATCTTTCTGTATCTCTTGTTTCCCAATTCATTCTATAATTCCAACCTGTACAGTTCCCTTAATTGTATAGAGAGAATATCTCATTCAATAATTGAAACTATTAGGTATGTAACCATTACACACACTGACTCACTCCATGCAAAGGTACAGTCAGCCAAAGATGCACCAATCCCACCCTGGGTCTTGTACTCGCAATTTTACCTGGCAATACTTGGTAAGGAAAGGCTGTATGTAAAGGTGATTGTGATTGGTGGATCTGTTTTTGGCTGTATCAATGTCAGGATAAATAATAAACAAACCAAAGGTTTAATTTTTATAATAATAAACTATTCATTCTTATTTACAGTCATGAGAAGTTTCCAAATTTTTGTATATTTACTTAAATAACGAAGAAAATTAAATTAATGACTTGGCAACTCGACTACAACCACAGCTGCCACAAGATTCTCAAATCAAATTTTCTTTACTTAAACAAATATACGAACAAGTGGAAACTTCTCATGATCTAAAATAATGATGAATAGTTTATTATTATAAAAATTCTACCTTTGGTTTGTTCAATATTTATCCTGACAGTAATACAGCCAAAAACAGATCCACCAATCACCTTTACAAACAACCTTCCTTTACCAAGTATTGCCAGGTAAAATTACGACCACGAGACCCAGGGTGGGGTCGGTGCATCTTTGGCTGACTGTACATTATGGACAGCAAACGTTAACTTGAGAAGGTTTGGTGCATGTTAGTATTCTTGGGTTGTCTTATTAAACAATAACATCTTCAATACAACACAATATTTGCACACAGGATCTTGCTTTAAACCTGTACAAGTTATGCGGTTATGTTCTCAAACACAAATGTTTTCTAAGAACACCTTTATACCTATCAACTGTTTAAATCAGTGGGTAGGATGTCTCTCAGCCTTGCAAAGCACCTCCTTCAACTGTCAACTTGGAACTATACACTGAGAATCTTTTAAGAACCTGGAATAAGAAACTGCTGCAAGTTCTGGGCTCCAATCATCTTCACCTCATAACATATTAAAGTCAATTACCACTCGTGTGAAAATATTTGTAACTACTGCTCAGCATGGACTTAAAATTGCCCAGCAGGGTGCAGTCTCACAGCCAGAGTGAAGTGAACAGAATGTTACAGGATAAAACCCCAAAGGCAGTTTTTTATATAGATTTTGACTCGACAAAGACACATTGCAAACAAGCTGCTTGGCAAGGCTATGAAGCGTCCAACCCCTGTAAGTGCACACACATACAGTACTGTACAGTGAGGTTCTCTTATTGCCCTTTACAACAATGTTGTGTTAATGTTACAGGATTTGCACCCTAAACACTCCTGTACAGTACAGTAATTGTATTTCCTTTACACTGAATGTCAAGTCAAAACATACAAATTGAAAGGTTATGCAGACAACTAACACAAAAACAACACTTACCTGGTCAATGGTCTGTTATATTGCTGGTGTAGCAGTCAAGGAAGCTTGGCTACCGTACTGGCACTCTACCACAACCTTGCGAACTGTTATTGCTTGCAAATGTTATACTGTACATTTTTTGTGCCATGTCATAAAATTAACATACACAGAACAATCAAAAGCTGTGTATTTCTGCCAAATTAAGAATTAAAATTGTTGAAAATAATATCCCCCCTCTTTTGTGATCTAACCTTAAACATATCACTTTCTTCTTATTTTACATTCCTGAAGACACACATAACTACTGGCAGACATAGTGCTATGGGGCCAAGTTACAAAACAATCTTTACAATAAAAATTACATGTGCCCAGGTGGGATATTCCCCATAAAAAAAAAAAAAAAAAAAACAGTAGGTAAAATATACAACAATGATGCCATCTTTGGTTAATTTGTTCTACAATATTAAATTACATTTCTCTAGATTACAACTATCCTGGTTGCACATTACCGTATATCAAAGTATACCAGATATTTTTCACTAACACCAATAACATTTTCTCTCTTTGGTTAAACAAGTGACTCAAATCCACACACCTAAATCCTTCAAACATCTTGTGATACACCCAGTCTGATAAATCCCCAACCCAAGTACAGATAGAGAGCAGTACATGAACAAGGGGGAAAAGTAGCTTTGAAAAATAATATAAAAATCTGGTATCAAGTGACAAAATATTTTTAACCTACAAAATTCTACATTTGTTTGAGAACAGGGGATACAATACTGTAGGAATGTTGCAAAAGGTAATACAATGCCAACCACTTTGCCCCCAAGGGAAACACAACTTATCTAAGCATCACACACATTGTTTCTGCCAAGCAACTTTTTCTCTGGTTCCACAGTTCACCATAACACCAACTTGTCATACACATGTAAGCCAAACTTAACAGTATCAGAACTTCAGTCAATATGTTTTTCCTCTCCTGGTGAAGACACTTTACATATACAGAACTGTACTGTAGGTGTATAAGTTACACATCATCATTCACAGAGGCTACCTGACTTTTGTCACTTAAAGGTGACTTTTCTTAAACTACTGTACAGTATTAGGTTGCGATAAAAACAAGATTAATTCTTTATAAGTTTATTAAGACAACTTGATTTTCTAACAAAGTTTGAACAACTGTTCCTAATACCTGTACTGTATAAGGTAAATGTAGTGTGCCGTCTTCACTGTGGTAGTATAGTAACGGTACTGTATTAAAAGTACAATACTGTACAGCAATTGCTACAATTCAGGCAGAATTCACTGAATTAGTTACACAAAATAAAAAAATGGGCAGGGGGAAGGGTCATAACTGATCAATATCCAGCACAGTAGAGTACCGTACTGCAGCACAAGTTCATGGGGATAGATTTCTGGAAACTTGGCAAACTTCACATGTAGGTATTATGGGTAAAAGAAGACTAATTGTACCACCCAGTGACCACACTCCCTACCCACTGAAGTACACAGCACTGTCACATTACCTACACTGCCATCACAGCACCTTGGTCAGTTATGTTAAAACTACAGTACTTAATTTACAGATACTGTACTTTATTTCTGGAGAAAAAAATAAAAATAAAAATAAATATTTATTCATCACATCACTTGCTATGGACCGACTGCTCAAACCAGAATGCTTAAATACAGATTCAAGCTCAAATTCAGCTGTTAAGGAATGGAAGCATTAGTTCCAGACGTTTGAAAACTTTCTTAACTTACTTCCCCTAGAAAGAGTGAATAAATTAAGTCTTCTGACGAACTTTGTCACACCAAGGATCTATGAAAGTATTGCAGACTGTGCTAAATACGAGGCCGCCCTCCAGACATTGCAGGCACTGAATGTGAAAACAACTAATGAAATTCTTGCACGCCATCTTCTCACCACTCGTCCTCACGAAATGGGAGAATCTTTGGACGAATATCTTCAGGTTTTAAAAACCTTAAGTAAAGATTTGACTTTAAGGCAGTGACTGTTGCTGAACACCAGGAAAAGTCAACCAGAGATACTTTCATCAGTGGTCTACCATCATCCTTGATCTGGCAGCACCTACTGGGAAACAAGACATTATATTTGGCCACTGTGTTTGATCAAGCTAGGGCTTTGGATTCAGCCCAAAAGAATTCAGAGCTATATATACAGTAGTACTCAACCTGGATATTTATTTAGTGCTGCTGTTTCTAAACCAAAAGTTAGCACTGAGAAACTGCCTGAATGTGTATCTGTACTGCACCTACTTTTGTGGTTACTCAAAACATCCACATTCAAAATGTCCAGCGCATGAAGCTACATGCAACAAATGTCAGAAAACGGGACATTTACAAGGGTTTGTTGCTCATCATTATCTTCTATGGCTCCAGGCGCTACCTCAGTTTCCACAGGTCGCCCAACTCTTTCTTGCCTCTGTGACATTTGCACCTACACCAGCTGTGTTATCTAAATCAGCGTCTAAGATTGACCTTGATGGGGTTGAAGTTGATGGCCTCATGGACAGTGGAAGTACCGAGAGCTTCATTCATCAGGAACTTGTTGGATGACTTTCTCTTAAGAGTTAAACCATTCAGTGCTGTCTCAAAGGCATCTACTTCTCTTTCAACAAATACACTCTGGTTCTGTAAAGTTAACCTAACTTTAAAAGGGCAAACTTATCAAGATGTGTGATTGGCCTTACTTCCACAGCTGTGTACCAACGTTATTCTCGGGCAGGATTTCCAGCAACAGCATGATAGTGTCACACTGAAATATAAGGGCAATCTACCTCCTCTCAGTGCTTGTGGGCTCACTACACTGGGTGTTGACCCTCCAGAATTGGTTGCTAATTTACCAGCTGACTGTCATCCTATAGCTGCCAAGTCACGCCATTATTGTTCTGATTGCATATTTATCAACAAGGAAATACAGAGGTAGTTACATGAAGGAGAAATAGAACTGAATAACTCCCCATGGCATGCACTAGTCTTGTTGTCACTAAGGGTGAAACTTACAAGAAATGCCTCGTAATTGATTACTCTGAGACTATCAACAGATTCACCCTACTGGATAGGTACCTTCTACTCCGTATTGATGAAACGGTAAATACGATTACTCAGTATCGTGTCTTCAGCTCAACTGATTTGTGTAGTGCTTACCATCAGTTGCCTTTAAGGAAAGAGGGAAGACATGAGACGAGACTAACAAAAATGTGTCGCTTGTGTCAAGATGGAGACTTAATACGAGATCATCAAATGACCGAGATGTCAAAAATTCTACAAGACCCCAGACACTACTAGACGTTGTGTTGAATAAATTGATATAGAATGAAAACAAAAGAGCTGGTCTTCCTTTAGACTTTATTCAACACAAAACATCAAGTAGTGTCTGCAACAAAAAAAGAAAATCAACAAAAAGCAATAACGCAGCATAATAATCAAAATCACAAGAATAATCACAATCAAGTCAACTACAGTATACATATGCAGGCCCATCCCTTTCCTTATCACAACTAATATGGGTACTACTCTAGAACAATGACTAGTGATAACCAGCAACTCTAGGAGAAACTTGGGTAAAGATTCGGTAGAGACCAACCACGGAACTCTACAGGTCTACAGTACCTCGATAACAGACGCATAAACGGACTGCAAAAAGTCAACAAAAAGGGAATCAATGGTTTTCGGAGCATTATAACCACTCTCGATATATCTCGTTCAAACTGTCAAGCAAGAAGAAAAAGCAGACACATAACGGAAGCATAATAAGCATTAATTAAGGAATGTAAGCATAAATTGAGACTTATTCACCAGTGTTGAACCGTTAGTACATGTTCAGTCGTTATTCCTTCCTCAGCCAGCCCCTCTGGCTGAAGGGTTGGCTGATGCATTGGCCACGGTTTCTGCCATTAAGTTTTAAAAGATGCCCCCCCCCCCAGTGGATATTTTGCTGTGACACACCAAGTTCCTACTAACGCTATTTGGTATAACTGTAATATCGGACAATATGCGACTGATGGTTCAAACCATCCCCAACCTTAAGATCTCCTTAGTTGGAGTATTTCTAACCCCATTAAGAACATAAGAATGGAGGAAACTGCAGCGGGCCTATTGGCCCATACTGGGCAGTCCCATTTACACCCAACCCCAATTGCTCATATATCCACCCAACCAGTCGGAAATGAATGTTAATGATTTTTCCATACTTGTACATCAGTCTATGGTCGAGTTACTTAGAAATTTGTACCTGACGACCCTCTGCCTGCCCCTGGCCCCTCTACTGTACTTCTAATTAAGGTATTGTACCGATTTGGGGGTAATGTTGGTTAAGTTGTGGATATGATTAATGGGTTGCCATCACAAATTTTCACTTTAAATTTTAACTAAATTAGATATTCATATTACTGACTGGGGGGGCGGTTAGGTTACCTTTAGATTACTTGGATTCACTCGGATTTTGTTACCTTGGGAATTCATTACTTCCTAAAAATAAAAAATCCAAGCCAATCTCTGCCAAAATTGGCTTGGATTCTCAAATTTTGGCTTTTATTTACTTCTCAAAATCGGAAAATCTGAGCCAACTTTGGTGATTTATATTGGATATCATCCATTTTGGCTCTCCCCCACCTGAAAACCCTGAATTCCCACACGTCCCCCAAGAGTGTTGGAGGGGGGGGGGGGTGCTTTAACTCTAAAACGGGTATTTTCTGACAGAAATGAAGGTCAAATTTGATCGAATCACACCAAATAACACTGGAAAAACAAATTGCTCAACTACTAGGTCACATTAACTTAAACAGCAGTTTTACCCGCTATTTTACAGTGAGTACACTCCGATTGGCTAATAAAATAAAAACAACAATGCACAAACTATTAGAACCTAACCTCACTTAACTTACTAACCTGTGCGTTGTCGTTTCTATTGGTTATTGAAAATAAACATAAATAATGCGTTGGAGGGTCAGTCGTCCATATTAACCAATGATCATATCAGAACTCACTTGTGAAAATATAGCAAGAAAATAAACACCAAAACAAATAGTGTAGGCAGGTCAGTCGTCTATATTAAACTTTATATAAAACATGTTTTTTATTACTTACAACATTGTGGATATTTTGATGTGACTAAGTTCCTACTAATGCTATTTTACCTAGGGTGCCCTCTGATTGGCTCAGAACTTTCCGTTTAATATGATGGGGTCCAAACGACACCCAACCTCCACCACGGCCATTGTGAAACTAGTCAATGAAATTAAAATAGTACCCAGGCTGTTTCCTTTGAAAAAATCAAATGCGATTGATCAAAAAAATTTGTGTGATATCGATACCTCATTGGTCACGACTGGATGACGCAGTCAACATTATGCATGCGTGATGCGCAGATAACATCTCCTCACAGACGAAGACTGAAAACTACTTAAAATCAATTACATTCAATTGTGTCGCTATTATCCATTTCTGCCATGTATATATGGGTTTCAAAATGCTCAGAATAGCGAGATCTAAATGTTTCAGGAGTTTATAACTTTCTGGAGTGCTATGTCCGAAAGTAAAATAATACCTAGCGTTAGTAGGAACTTAGCTGGTCACGGCAAAATATCTACTACCTACTTACCATCACCCAAAAACATCCGTGCAAATAATTAAGGGTATTATTGCGTTTTCACACCACACATTCCTACTACTAATCTATTATCATATTCGAATAAGACGTCTAATTATAAGATAATTTTCATCTATTACATTACCGGCGCAAATGTATAATAACGGAGATAGCGTATCCAAAATGTTCTCTATTTTCTTCCATTAATCTAACATAAGAACATAAGAAGTCTGCAATAGGCTGGTTGGCCTGTGCATGGCAGCTCCTGTCGAGAGTTACTACCACTCTCTATCATCCATGAATCTATCTTCTAGCCTCCTTTTGAAACTTTCCAGCGTTCCCGCACTTACTACATAGTTGCTAAGCTTGTTCCACTCGTCCACCACCCTATTTGTGAACCAGTTCCTTCCTATTTCCCTCCTAATCCTAAACTTATCCAACTTAAATCCGTTGCTATGAGTCCTATCCTGCTCGGATAGTATAAGAACTTTATCTATATCACCTTTATTGGTTCCTTTCACCCACTTAAATACTTTGTCTTTCGAAGGAATGCAAGGTTAGTTTCTTTAACCTATCTTGATATGGAAGGTTTCTAAGTCCCGGAATCATTTTCGTCATTCTTCGCTGCACCGATTCCAGTGAATTGATATCCATTCTATAATAAGGGCACCAGAACTGAGCCTCCATTATCGACTACCCCACCTACCCCCTCTGTGTGTCTCTTTCATAAATCATCACGCAGCTACATTACCGTACACGTCACGCGGCCAATCAAAAGCGTTTGTTTTTTTGCAACCAATTAAAATGATTTTTGGTTTAATTCGCAGTATTTCTGGCCCAATTAAATTCGATTTTTTTTTGAGTCATATTTCCAAATTCACATTCATTTCCGACCATGGAAGTTTGTGATGGGTGTCACTTAAATTATTTGGAACTGATTGCAAGTTTTTTGGGAAAAAACGAAGAAGCTATAGCATTTTTTCAATCGCATGGTGTTCTTCCAACCTCAGTAAAGTGCAAGACTGAATGTAAATATCGCAAAGACCAACATATGTGGCGTTGTGTAGGATTCTCAGAATCCAACAACAAGAACCAGGCCAATAAGGTAAGAAATAGGTGATTCCATCATATGGTGAGTCAGTTAGGTTAGGATAGGTTTGGTTTTTGTTTTTCTAGTGTTTTTTGTGTATTTTTTATTTGCTTAGCCATTATTTTTTTTTCGGAAAATGCTCCACGAAAAAACCCCCCAGCCAATTTCCGACGGAAATGAAGGTCATATTCGGTCCAAACACACACACATACACTAGAAAAAATATATTTTTGACTTTCTAACAGTGTGGTGCGCTTATGCAAATTTACCAAAATTAAGGAAATCGAACAACTCCTTCTGGTGTTAGCCACCTGCTCCAGTATTACCCTTTGCCAACCTAAATTAACATCCCGGCAACATAACCTCCAGTCTGCCCAGCCAGGATGAAGTTGTTACTTCCAAATAATAGGGTCCGACTAATTACCCAAATGTAGCCGCAATGAAGTCAAATAATGGTCCTACATGAATAAATCGGGTTACCAATCACTTCTCGACTAGTATTTTGTGTCACAAAGTAAAAAAAAAAATGGAAAACGTAGTTTAATTTGAGTTAATAGATCGAGTGCATGTACCTAATCTAATCTAATCTAATCTAATCTAATCTAACCTAACCTAACCAAACCTAACACAACTCGGATTAAATTAAGTTTACCAATTTTTTGTGACTTTATGACACCAAATAATAATCGAGAAGTGATTCACAGCCAGATTTATTCAATAGTGGTTAAGTGAAGCTCAAATTTCGGTAAATGAAGGTTAGGTTAGTTAGTTTATTTAATTTTATGAATAAATATTATATAACAACATGTATTCTCAGTCTCATCAAACTCATAGAAAAACGTTTATAATTTTACACCAAATATATAGAACATTTCTGATATTTCCCTACCAAAAAATAATCTCCACTAATATATTTCTAAAGTAAAGTTATAATAGTGGGATAGATTACATATTATAAGAGATGAGAGAAGAAACATACAGCCCCAACACACGGCCACCATCTACCACCATTATCATTATTTCTACATTAATAAGACCCACTAAACCTCCCTCTCCTTCCCATTAAGTAAAGCTAACACCTCCTACCTTAGCTTTAACGTCCTCCATGGTGTTAGCGGTGAGAATGTGTAGACTGAGGGAGGAGGAAAGTTTAAGCCGCCTCGTGTACCTTGTGGAAGTCTCTCGAACCACAACAACAACACTCAGGGACCACTACCCCTTAACCCCTCCCTTAACATAACTATTTATTATTAAAAACATATTATTCTAAGATATTATGTACTATAATAATTATCTTCATCCTTGTATATTGTAGTAAGATTCAATTGCAGTGGTCTATTAATTCCTCTTGGGTTTTAATGATCAATGTCTCTCAAGGACAGTGGGTTTTATTAAATGTTTATCTCAGTATAATAGTTATATATAATGTGTATATCATCTAATATGAGTTAATTAAGATTTTATTAACTCAATTCGGGGTTCAGGGTATGATAGTTGGACGACCACTTATTATACTAACAATACGTAGTTTATTACTCACAAATATTAATTATAGTCCATATATATATAAATGTACATATATAATAGTAAAATATGCTTATACTTCAAACACATATGGGAAAGTGGCTGAAAATATTTAAGGATAGTGTAACAGTTGACAATCGAGTAACAAAAATGGAACTTTCTGGGATATTCTAACTGCATAACAACATGAAAATTAACTTGTTTTATCTAAAATGCATTACAATCGAAATTAATGAATGGGCCTGTAGAATAAGAATTTCGTAGCAAAATTTTCACATTTCACGCCTACAGTTTATACAATAGTTATGGTGTATAACATATGGAGGGTTGGGGGGTAAGCCATGACCCACCATTTAGCCTATTGTTAATTATTTCTATTCTTATATAAGACATATAGACAACAATTGGGGAGAATATTAGCCACCCTAGAGCTTTTTCAAGGTGATGAGACAGCTGTAACGCACATAACTCTCACCAGTGTGTCAAGGGTTCGACCCTCGGCCCGGACACACGTGAGAAGAGTGATATTGTAGCGGCTACCTCCCCCTCCCCTACTAACGCTGTTTATCGCCGAGTAGCAGACCCCGCGAATTCCCCAGTGTATGCCTCGTGGTCTAGGTCAACCAGCGCCGCCTTACATAACGAAGGTCAACTACTAAGCCACGCCTACCTCCGCTATATAAGACCTGACCTCGTGGTGACCTGCCTCTTCCTATACAAAGCACTGATCAGACCACTTAGAATACCCTCCGATACCTCTGAACACAATCGCAAGAACAAATCAACTTAAATTTCAAGCAGTGCAAAATATAGCCCTCAGAAGAGCGGCAAAACACCACACCAACCACCATACACACCAACAGCACAAGACATTCACACAGAACACGGTATAGACCCACTCAACACCAGAATACACCCCCAAGCTAATGCAATATGGGAAAAAATCCAGCAAGAACAGGATCCCATACTAAACCAACTAATTGAGGAAAACAACAACACATCACACGGATGGTGGCCTAGAAGCAGGAAAAATGATAACGAAGAACCAGAGCCTCTATATACACAATAACAATAAAATAACAATAAAAAATAACCAAAAGATGGGCACAACTCTCCAGTCACACAAGGACCTGGAGGGCCCCCACAAATAAACAAAGACCTAAATAGTAAAAAAAAAATGGGGATCATCCCTCCAGTGCCACAAGGACCTGGAGGGACCCCCCCCTAACATAATATGCCCCAAGGACAACTTAGAACAATTTAGCTTAGCTTGGCTGAGACCGGCCTTCCCTAACCCCATGAACCACTAAGGCAGCACTGTTGACGGAAGACAAAAAAACCCGTCTCCGCAAGGTGGATAGCCCACCTGCTGTTAACCTTCTCCTCTATTTCCCACTTCTGAACTTTACCTTGTACTATACCCTTCTTCCACTCTCAGAGCTACTGCTCTCTTCTCTCTGTATACCAACGAAACCAACCTACCTCTTTTCTACCTACACCAACCAGCAAGCAACACCACCACCTCCTCCGCCGCTGCCTGGCGGCCCTCGCTCCCGCCGGCGACCCACAAGCTCGTCCTCCTCTGAGCATCCTCACCAACCAGCACTCAGTTGAGTGTCCTTACTTGGAGCTGGCGGACGCTCGCCCCACAAGGGGTCACAGCTCAAGATTGAGGAAGCCGCAAGTCCAGAAAACCGTGAGGGCAAACTTTTTCGGAGTGAGGGTTGTAAACTCTTGGAACAATCTACCAGAGAGTGTTGTGACGGCACCGAGTGTGAGCTCTTTCAAGACAAGACTTGACCAACACTGGAGCGGGTTCAGGTACATTCAGGAGCCGGTGCATGCCCAGTATTTGCCAACAGTGCGTGACAGAGACGTGACCGATCGCCTGGGCGGCTAGCGAGCCGATCTTTTGGTGAAGAATATAAATGAAAAGAGACGTGACCGATCGCCCAAGCGGCTAACAAGCCGATCAGTGGCGAAGAGGATAAAAGTAAAAGTTAAACCTCGAGAAAACCCACTACATGATCTTTCACAGAAGGAAAAACTTACCCCCAGACTTAGACCCCCTGTACCTTGGTAATACAGTCCTCAAACGCGAACAAACTACTAAATTCCTCGGAGTTATTGTTGATGAGAAACTTAACTGGAGAAACCACATACAAGCCATTCACAGTAAAGTCAATAAACAGTGCGGTATCATGTATCACACTCGACAGCCACTCACTCTCACAGCAATGAAAGAAATCTATCATGATTTTGTCTACCAACACCTGATACACTGTCACACACTATGGGGGGTCTCTGGTTCTTCAAAAACACAATCTCTGGTTACTGCACAGAAGAGAGTTATACGGACAATGACCTACTTAAAAAAACAGATCACACAAACGAGAAATTTGCTATAATGAAAATTTTAAAATTCGAAGATATTAACACCTATTGCTGTGCCCTCTTTGTTTACAAACCTATCAATCACTTGCTCCTCTCAGTCCCAGACCTCCATAAGGTATCACGGTGTGAAGGTGTGGAACAACTTACCCCCACCCATCCCAGCAAAGACAATACGCTCGCTCCCTTTAAATAGTCTCTTAAAAAACATCTATTGTCCAAGTATTAATATTTCTTTTAACACCTACTATATTTACAGTACGTTTTTAATGTACCATCAAAACCATTTTGTCGGAAATTATCATGTAAATAGATAAGTAATTACCATTGCAATAAACATAATTGCCAACTAGACATAATCCTGACAGCTTTGTCCTCTTGTTCAACCTTATTACTGTACAACCCATGTTGTACTGCTCCCCCATTCTATTTATGTTTTTCAGTTCCACTGTAATTTATGCGTATATAAAAAAATAAATAAAATAAAATTAATATATATTGAAGTAATAACCACGGTAACATTATGAGATGTTCTTATTACCACCATGCTATTGTACTATTCCAGATGATACAAAATGTTACATAATACTTCCTTGAGATAAATGTATAGGATATACAGTCAGCCCTTAACATACGCGGGTTTATAATACACGGATTTGCAAATACGTGGATTGCCCCGCCGGAGGAATATTCTGTACATTGAAGAAATTGAAGTACTGTAATTATCAGGTGCCTAAAAGAGAGCTCAGGATCTGAACTGGCTCAGCCATGTTAATAGTGTTATTATTATCCACTCTGTATCTGTGTTTTTCTGGCTAAATAAACTTTCAATTCAATTCAAGCATAAAGATCGTTTACTTGGTATCGGGAGACCATATCTATACGTGTTGTTCAGACAAAGTTCTGTTTGTGATTTTTAAATAAATATGGGATTTTGTATTACAGTCAACCCTCACTTTACGCGGTTAATACAACCCACAGGGTACCGCGGAAAGTGAGAAACGCGTAAAGTGAACAACAAAACATAGAGACCGGGCCGACCCCCAAACTCCACTTTTTGACGACACACATCTATGTTTTAGTAAAAATAACTTCTTAATTTTATGATAGTATGCACACACAATTAATAATTAAGAGAAATATCAATAATATTAGGTTTTTTAACACTTACATTAGTAGAAAAGATGGCTGGGCACACGGGGATGGGGGGTTGGTTCCGAGGCAGAGGGCAGATTATTGGCCCTCACCTGTATCACTTGTATCACTGTCCACCACAGAGGCTTGCAGGGCCTCTTTGTCAAACCCCTCAAAGTCCATATCCTCACTGTAATTATCACTATCACTGACTTGGGCCGGCTGTGGTGGGTGGCGGGTGAAGAACTTGGTAATGTTTTGATGACTGGGCGACCTTGTGCGCACCCTGCTCGCGCCGCTTACACAACATGGCGGGAGGCTTGGATCCAAAAATGGCGCGGCTCGCCAGCCGCTCTCCGCGTAAAGGGGTACACGCACCGCAGAATGTGAGCATCCCGGGTTCCGGCAGGGTACCGCGTAAACGTGGAATGTGGGACCGCATAAAGTGAGGGTTGACTGTATTCTATTTATGTTATTTTAACTTAATAGGATTTTTTATTTTGTAAATCATAGTTGTAATAATGAGTTTCATTTTTTGGAAATGTCCACAGGCTGAGACGCCAAATATTGTACTCAATCAATCAATCAATCAATGAAGTAATTGCATCAAGGAGGAGCGTCGTGGCATAAAACAATGTTGGCACTCCTTTACTGTACTAGGTTGTTACTTTGCAGATGTTCTTCATGGTATCTGTATTTCGTATAATGCTCTCTAGTGCTTCACTATTTTTTTTATCCTCTTCACTACTGATCGGCTTGTGGGGTTTCGTGATGTTGACTCGCACATAGGATGGAGGTGAGAAGGGAAACTCAGCTATGGGTTTATTATTTTCGTAGCTGGTCAAGAGATAGGACATGTGAATTCCAGGTATTTTCTGGCATGCAAATTATACAAGAGTAATAAAGGGTGATACATACTGTATATAACAATTACTGTAATTATGCTTTACTAAAGGTAATTCTTAGTATCTATGAACATTCCAAATCATCAATTACAAAAAATAAAGATTGGTAATGAAAGATAAAAATGTTAGTAAATAAGGCGTAGAAGACTTGTGGCAAATTTTTTCCACTGCACACTAAAGACATACAGTACAGTACATGCAGTAGTCTGAGGGTAAGAAAATTAACAATTGCTTTATCTTTATAAAATGTGTTGGTGACTTTTATTATATAAAGAGGATATGTAAAAATACATAACCCTACTTTGCACATTATACAAAAATTACATTTGTGTGTTTGTACATAAAAACTGTTAACATTGGGCACTTAGGTTAATTTCATCAACTGAGTAAATAGATATTCACTATCATAATGTGTCTGAAAATTGCTGGTAATTATGAATGTTACTGAAACATATTATGATATTCACAATTATGCTGAATTAATAAATACTGTACTGTATATGATAAGCATTTACTTGTTCTCTTTTACAAGGTTTTGAAGAAAAAGGATTGAAACATCATCAGATACCACCAAAATTATATTACTATTAACACAACTATTGGTGATAAAAACTGGTAATAACATAATATAAAAGTTCTATCAATCACAAGAAAATCTGCCAAAACAAAAACAGGAAAGACAAAATCACAACCCTGAATCATCACCTAGCAAGGTGGTGTAAGAAAATAAAAAAAGCTACCGTGAACAGGAACACTATATCACATTATTTTTCAAACACTCAACCACCCACCATTATTATAGTTTCATGGCCAATTTCCATGCAGGTCTCCACACTGCATTGTCTTTTGCCGTCTCTATTGCCTGGTTCCTAACACTAATGTCATTTCTTACAACCTATTCCCCATTTCATTCTTGGCCTATCCCTGGCTCTCCTCCCCTCCATGTATAGGTTCATGCAACTCTTGATCCAATTGGTCTTGGCCATTCTCTCCACATGCCCAAACCCTATTGGCTTGCCTCTATGCGGTACTTCACCAATACTCTCAATACCCAACCACCTATTAAGTCTGAACAAGGTCTCCTGTCTTTCAGTACTACATTACACATCCACCTCACTATTCTCATTTCAATTAATTCAAGCCTGTTTATGTCATAATTTTTAACTGTCCATGTTTCACTGCCATACAACATCACACTTCTCATGCCAGGCACATTCATACTTCTTGTCACACAGAGGGAAGGTCCTCTTGCCGTCAACAAAGGTAGCGACTCTGTATCCTTCCTCCAGCCACTTCTGCCTCTTGCAACTCAACAGGCTTCAGCACTAATTACATTATCCAGCTAAAAAGACTCATCGGCACAGTCCATTAACATATCCCCATAGTTCAGTTTCTCCACCCTTTTTATTGGCACCTAATATTAATTATCCAGCACCTGTACCACCCCAGGACTAATAGGTTAGAATGAGGTTTATATTACTGTATTAAACAAAATATATAATGGCTCCATTTGTGTTATTTTCCAACACTGGAAACCTGGCTATTGCCCCCAATAGTTTCACTGCATATTGCTTGTATAAATTAATTCATCAATATTTACTTTAATAATAATTAAGTTTGACATTCTACAAATGAGACAACAGCTCACATACAGTACAATACAGGAGGCTTCGTAAGATTAAGTCTCATCTACAGCTTGAGGAAAATAATTAGATATAGAAACAATGGTAATATAAATGGTATTTAACAAACCACACAACAAAATCAAGTTATTCTTTAAACCAAGTCAGAAGCACCTGCAACATTGGAAAAATAATGCATATGATATGCAATTAAATTTAATGCAGTAAAATACCTGTACGTACTCTACTGTAGATAACTTTTATATAACTAACACAATTAAATCAATCTTTTAAATTCTATAAATCAATTAAAAATAAAATAAAATACTATATTTCTATTAGTGTGACACTGGCACGTTAAGAGTAACAAGCTTCACAAAATGACATATCAAAGAAATACTGGACTGTACTGCCAGTTACACCCACACCAAACAGGGCTGACTCTTGACAATATCTGTCAGTATTTTGCTTAAGCTACTTTCAACACCTAGAACAGTCTACTTGTTCAATATAGTAGCTGTAATCTCTCCAATAGCTGAAATCTTTGATGCCGGAAAAATCTTTCCAGTCCAGGCATGGGAACGAATTTCTGAGGATTGTATCGTGCGCATTTCCAGAAAAGTCCGAGAAAATCTCTGTTCCGGACAAGGGAACCAGTTTTTGAGAGATTGTATAATGTTACGCATGGATGCGTGAATGGGTAAGCTCATAGTGCTAGTGAGCTATGATTGGCCACTACTGTCATGTGACTGCTTGGGATGCCTATGATTGGCTGATGTATCTTGCAGCCTATCTCCTCAAACTCCTGTGAACTTGTTCGCTCACTTTCTGTTGTTTTTGAATACGATGTGTTATGCAGTATTGTTCATTGCTGTACCAGCATATTATCAGCCCAAAATACTTTTAAAGCAGTGTAAAAAGTGAATAGTTTTGTATACTGTACTGTACACACAGTAAAAAAGTATCGCAAGGATTATGTGCGAAACAATATGGCATCATGGATGAGGGATAGTGGAATATGCGTGTTGGTCCTGTATTATGGTGGTAGTCCTGCTGTCCTTGCCTGAGGGTGTTCTCACATATCTGTTGCTAACGACATGTCCTGCCGTATATACAGTTGATGGTATAACTGAAGACGAAGACATCAGGTGATGTATGGATCATTACGGAAATCAGCAAAGTGGACAGTGTATGTCTACTGTAGGTTAGTGTGTAGAGGGTGTATGTACAGTATACAGTGTGTGCAATCCCTCCTTCATGGAGGGAGAGAGTGACAGTTAGCAACACCTGCTACAAGAGATGGTACAGGATAAAGGCAGACCATCCTGTATCATCATATTACCATTTGGCCTGCCTGCATCACAAGCTCAAGATGACAGCATCTGCTGGTGAGTACAGTATAGTACAGCACAGTGTATACAGTAGTATATTTTGTTTATTTACATTATATTGTACATGTACATATATTCACATATATTGCATAAACAGTTTTGTGACTGTCCATGCAAGATGCAAAGTTTAGTTCTCAGAAAACTTTCCCAGTATCCAGACAAATTCTGGGATGTGTGATTTTTTCTGACGAGAAGAAAATTCGTCTTCATACCCGGAACCTCTCTGCACCAATTATTGTGGTTAATGGGGATATCACTGTATTTACTGTTGATTTAAACCTGTGGCTTTACAGGGTTGATGGGGTGTTATGTTTGTGTTATACACTGAAATGGCCATCAGTCATACCCATGCCCTGGACTAACCCAACCCTCAATTTATACAGTACCTGTACATCTCTTATAGAAGATCCTCAATACCTAACATGTGAATAACTCATGTTACATTGACAACCATTAATATTATAGCACTAGCCACTGTCCATTATCTTGGGACAGAGTTATTAATATACTACTTCACACATCTCCTCATCTCTATCTATCTGTTAGGTTTTCAAAGGATTTTCAAGCCTCAAAATGTCTATTAATCTTACTTTTCTTCACTGGGTGGATACTAAAGTTCTCATGAAATCAAGACAAATCTATACAATACTGTACATGCACAAGAAAAGAAGCCTTTATCTGAGGCAGCACTGAACAATTTACATCACCTTCAAGTGAATACTCTGGGTGCTGGCATTGGGCTTTAGGTCAAAACTGTGGACCTGACACACTGTAGGCACATTAGCTTGTGTGATTGAACAAGAAACACTCTGTATATTAAACCAAAACTTGAATCGAAGAAAAGGTTTTGGAATTTCAACAAATTACACATAATAAAGTTATAACCCAAATGTGGCAATGCTGTAAGTTCTGTCATCATATACTATACATACTTGGTAATACTGTACTGTACGGATACTTTTTCATTATGTCAGTTCTAGGCCCAGATTCTTAAAGGTTCATAAGACAAATATTTCTTGTATTGAAGATGTAAACATGCTCACCACAGACTGACTTACAGTAGGTAAAAAACAAATATAACATATGCATTACAAAGCAGCATCAAAATTACAATGCAACCCAAACAAGAAACATTCACGAGATAGGAGATAAAATAGCTGTACACTATCTTTAGGACGTCAGGGGGCAAAATTAAAGTAGAGAATGTATTAAAAGATTTTATATATTTTGGGCTATAAGTGGTACTAAGTAAATATTTCTCCAGGAAGTCTCTGATTTATACAACAAAAATACCTTAGTTATGAATTTTTCTTACTATTTTTGTAAATTGTTCCCCTAAGTAATAAAGACAATCAGGTAAAATAATGTTTGTTTTTTTACCACCAGTATGCTTATTGTTTAATTACATTCACTTACACTCACTATTATTACAGTAAATCTACAAATAAACTTTCAATATATCATCAGTCACCATATAACTTACTCCTGAAGCTCACTGGGGACAGGTAGACACATCTCCACACAGTCACTCAGCCAGTTGACTGATTGTCCAATTTTTATTCACTTACTCCCGTGTAAAAGATTTTAAATTATTCTGCATTCTTAAATTTCATAAGCTAATTGTTGACAAGAAAGATGTAGAGTTGTAAGAGAAGTGTGGAATTACGAAGTTTTGAGGTGTGGATATTGTTGACTGACAGAAGCATTACCACCATGTGAAAAAAACAATGAAAATTTAGGATGAAGCAATAACTCATCAGGGGTTGAGTATGGGATCTCTTTTTTTGTAGAGATCATATCTTCAATTATAGGTTGAGAATAAATGTATTACTACTGTACTGTAATATATTTATTATAGATATTGGCTAATATTTTCAGACTGTTCAATTTGTTTAAAATATTATCCAGTTTCTCGTACATACAGGTGTAAAATTATTACTGTACTGTACTGCATGTATATTATTTATTATGTTTATTATTGGCTTATATTATTGAATACCATACACCAAACATTGTCATGAATAGACAATTTAGGGATTTTTTTCCACCAGAACATGTCAGCTTTTATAACAGGAGCCTAGCCTATGGGAAACTGTTAATCAATTTATAAAAACCCAATTTACCAAAGATTTTTCTAGAATGGAACAGTTTGGTGAACCAGGAATGTCTGTACTTTATTTGAAGGTCAAGACTCAGCGAAATGAAAGTAAATTTGATACTATTTTTGTATGTTGCTTTTGTGCATCAGCTTAATAATCCACCAGTTGCATGCATCTCACATCTTCTGTCAACAGGACAATTCCTCATATTAACCTTTGAGAATCTTTACCTTGAGCTTTACGCTTGTATAGTTAGTGGCTTTGGGTGATCATGACACAATCCTGAAAACTGAGTTAAATACAAAATAAATGGGAAATGATGTTGGTTAGCAGTGAAATGATGGAACCAAGGTGTTTAGTGGCTAGCTACTAGGGACTGAAACTGACGATGGCACTTAACAAACTTTTTAAAAGACTTAAGAAGAATTAGGAAAACACTTTGCAAGATAAATTTATACGTAATCAATCTTACACTTATCAAAAGGACTGATTATGTAAAATCACTCAAATTATAAACACATTAATTACTTTAAATCACTTTCTCTAGACCCTTCACAAATATTAAGAATTTATGTAAAAGAAATCAGATTATCGGTATCAATACTGCCTCTTCTATACTTTTTAATCCAAATTCACCACACACTTGGAAGAAATTATTAAGAGGAACTGGATTGTAGTTACTCATTCAGGTGTAGGTCTTTGGTGACAACATAGGCTGCTACGTGCATCATGGAGTCTTTGTTAGCCTTGTACACTGCAATTGCCTGCTGACGCATCTCCTCCCAATCGTACAGGTCTCTGTTTGTATGTAAAAGGATATTAGTTATGATCACTATTACTACATAGATGCAGGTTAGCTTTAATATATCAGTCATCTGAAGAAGACATCCCCAGTTATGGCTTAATCCATTAAACAAGGCCATAACTCTGTAAAAAAATTATTGGTGTAAAACAAATTTGGAATGTGCAAATTATCCCATCCATATACCAGTACTGTACTGATTTGTACACTACAGGTATTTACACTGGGTTCATGTTATTCAAATGAAAAATAATCAGTAATTTAATTTGACCTCTATTAACAGATAAACTATTTTCTTATTATAAACAACTCATATTGGACATTGTTATGACCAGTGTTGGGTGGCCAGCTGATCCAACATTTGTACCTACAAGCTCATCACCACCATCATCAAAAGCTAAGGTATGGATCCTCTTTAGAAGCTTTTGACTTAAACATACCATAGCATTAGCTTTTTACTTCTTGTTTATATTAGAAGCCAACCTGAAAAAAACAAACAATATTTTCTGATAAAATGCAAGAAAGCTGGGAGACCTCAACCACTAACACAAGATGGCAACTTCTTTTTAAAATGCAAACAAACAATGGTCAGTGGGATGTGGTGATCATGTCCCCTCCCAGCAGCTTGTGGGGTGAACATGCTGCTAATGCCTGCTGCAAGTCTCCTGTGTTACCATACTGACATCGGGTACAAACATGTGAGGCTGACACTTGGAAATTGAGTGATCAATATCATGGTCTAAATTGTTTGTTCTGGGATAATCTGAATCACAAGCAGTAGAATTGTGAATTTTCAAGGGACAGTTATGTTAACATGAGCGTTGGTCAGTGGAGTTAACTGTCTGCAATGTATCATAGTAAAAAATAATAATAATTACCTAATCAAAATTTAAAAGACATGAAAAATATCATAGTTGCATGGGTTGGCAGTAATTACCTGATGGTAGCTCTCCACATTACACATTCTCTATAACCTCTTGTCAGGGTCCTGTCTGAGGTCATTTTTTACCTGTCCCTCTGCGTCATCCTGGCTCCCTTCCCCTCCACATTCCAACTCATACATCTCTTGACCCAATTAATCTCCATTTTCTCCACATGCCATAACCATCTCAGTCTATTTTTGTGCAAAACCCACCAATACTTTCAATACCTACCTGCCATCATGCAGGAGTTCAAACAACCTTCATTCTGAGTTTGAGATAGTCCAGCTTCACCTGTGACTGAGCTGTATGCTAAGAACTGAAAATTTAACACACAATCATGTGAGAAACCAAAAGTCTGGTGTCTGGGAAACTGAGAAGCAACAGGTAGGTAACAAAAGTCTGGTACTGTACCATAAAATAATCTAGAATTCTTCATATAGTAATGGAGTACACTACCCCCCTCGCATTCCCAGAAAATTCCGTGTAGAGCGAACCCATTACAAAATGGGGAGATAGGGGATGCATCAGGTGGACCACAAAAAGTTGCAAATAAGTTACCTTTTATGTATAGAACTAAACAAAGAATTTATTTGAATACTCTGAAACAATCAATGCCATAATATCCTAACCACAAGGGTTAGTTATACTGACCCTTTGTGAACTCTACTCTGTAATCCTTTCGTGCTACCGCTAACAGAATGGGTATGGGGTGCACAATAAACAAACCGCTGTAGGTGGCAAAATTAAAAAAATAATTACACTCCAAAACCAAAGTTTAAAAGCATCGTACAGGTATAAAATAGCTCACTAATTCACATACAGTACATCTACCAAATTCACTTAAACATGATGTTGTGAAGGCACTGACTTGTCCATGAAATCAGTTCCTGAACGTTTAACAATGCGGTCATTTGTAGACGCTGGCTGAGTCATGCAGCAGATTAAACTTGCTCTAGTCATTGAAGAATGTCTTATTTACTTTCTAGGGTAAATGTGGTCCTACTCTTCTTTGTTGGAGTGTCCCTAGGCAGAGGCGCACTTAGAGAATGTTTAAGTAGAGCCATGGTGATGAAAGCAAGCGAAAAAACTGAAGTTAATCCAAGCAAAGTTTTTGGTTGTGACTGGACCGAGCACTAGCTAAACTCTGAACCCATGTGGCATGGAGACGCTACCCATGGATTGTATGGACTCGACCACAGGCCTGTTCAAATGTTTTCTGCCTGACTGTGTTCAGCTGAATTTTCTTGTGTCAGCCCGGCTCAACCTGCATTCGAGCGATTCTTAGCCCAGTGTTAAGCAATACCAGGTACTGTAGCAATAAAAAAATGTGTTCGATCGAATCCTTGTTGAACGCGTTAAACAAAGGGCAGTGAACTTCAGACAAGCATGTTTTTCCTGTGCATCATTTATGGTACATCTCTGGTAGGGGCTGGAAATGCCTGTGATTATTTTTTGTCAGATGAAGGCAAACTGAAGCGTGAAAAACACACCTGTGTGAACACATGCCTTCTCTTGTACATGAAATTTTCCTCGCAGGACAAAAACACTCGTGTGAAGCGGGCCTAAATGATAGTGTGGAAGGACAAGTTGGCAGCGGAGGAAAATCAATGGCTACGAGGAAAATAAATTGACAATACAGGTCACACTAAAGGGATGGTGTGAGGGTGAGAAACAGAATAGTGAGCTAAGAAATAAGTTCCTGTAATGGATCAAAGAGTACAAAATGTTCACAGAAAATGGTGCCTAACAGAACTAACAGAAAATGGTGCCTAACAGAACTAACAGAAAATGGTGCCGAACAGAACTAACAGAAAAGACAAATAAAAACATTAACAGCTGAAAATAACACTACTGTACTGACCTATATATGGGCCGCACATACTTCATGCGGCCTTGCTCTGTCACAAACTTCAGTGCCTCATCCGCTTGTTCCTTCCAATGAGCTTTAAGACCCAGGCGCAACCAGCGGAATTTAATCTCAGCATTGTTGCGGGATGACATGTTGTAAAGCTCGTTCATCTTTTCCAGCTTTTTAATGGGCAGTGCGTCTTCTTCCAACAGCAGAGCCAACCACTCTCGTCTCTAAACGTCATAGTTTTATGATGTCCAAGATAAATAATATTCAAATCTAAAGATCCTTATCATAAGACATTAAATACAATACAAGGTCAGCTAAACCCTTCTGAAATATCCCATATTATACACACTGTATATTAAGACTTGGCAGAATAATTATCAGACAATTACAGTACCTGATTGGAGGACATTTTGTCAAGGTCATCCTTCAGGAAGGGACAGTCTTTTGCAAGGTCCCACTCTACCCACTTTTTACAAAGGGTTTTACAAACCACAGCTAGTGAGTCATCAAACCTGTAATTTTGGACATTTTCACAATCCACTTAAAGGTCCTTATTGAAATACAGTAACTGGTAACTTAAAACATAAGTCACACAACTACAGTCACCAAGAGATATCACCTGATCTTTATACAGAGACAAGATGAAATATTTTAAAATTATTCTATAAACAGTGAACTTTGATTCCTTTGACAAAATTCTGTCTTTATATACATTTTTTGATGCACCAATCACTTCTTTCCATTCTGTTACTCAATGATTAAAGTCACCATACATAGTTCCTAGATATTTGATAAGCATCACTTCCTCATTTCTGCCTGTAATCAAGTCCATAATCTTTTTTCCCTGATTTTCATCCTCTGTGCTAACCCTTAGGCCCCAGGTGACGTTCCAGAACGCCCGACCAGTGCGCCCCAGGTGACGTTCCAGAACGCCCGACCAGCGCGCCCCAGGTGACGTTCCAGAATGCCCGACCAGTGCGCCCGATGTGACGTTCCAGAACGCCCGCATATTCCCACCATTTTTTTTGAAAAGTAGATTTTTCCCGATTTATTCCCGCGGGGGGTACTGCCAGCAGCACCCTAATCCGGGGCTTAAGGGTTAATTTTCATCACTTAATTACGTCCACTGACTTAAGAAACCCAATCAGTAAAGTTTGAAAATTTTGAAATTAATAAATCAATCTCATACCTGTTAATTAACCTCTGTCCATTGCTAATTAAATAAGGAGAAACTGGAGGATCACACCTCACCATAAACAATAATCTATTTAACCTTTACTAAAGTTACTGGAGTGAGAATGGTGATGTAACTTACTGAGGCTCAATGGGTGGCATGCCAGGAGTGTGCCACCAAGCTTGCCAATCAACAGCATCAAACACATTCTTCTTGTCTACAAAGTACTCAAACAGGAAGCTTCGGAACACTTCTGAGGTAATGGATTGGTACTTAAACTTATCCAAGTATGCCTTTAAGAAAGGTTCAAACTCACCTGGAAAATAAAAATGCTCTTTTAGTATTTAAATGGAAAGGTCCAAGAAAATAACAATAGTAATTTCTCTAAGTAGGGTTGTGTTTGATTTTTGTACCACTAAAGGCCTGTAGGCTTTACAATCAAAGAGCCTACAAATCAGATCATGTAATCCAAGGATGCATAAAAAATACTGCAATGTTTCTCTTATCTTGGTAACAAATTTGGGGGATTGAAAGGCTGTAGATATGGATAGGTGTTAATAAATAAGTGTCTGTATACATTACTGTAATGGCAAAAAAATACCTTTATTCCAAGAATAATGTCAGCTGTATAATTAAACAATATCTAGTGTAGGTATGAGTCTGAATTTGAATTACAGTACTGAATATGTAAATCATTATCTGTGAGATATGTCTTCAGTAAGTTTATGTAATAATACAATGTACAGAATCTCAAAAAAATATCTGTGAGGATGGGTCCGATGACTTCCCAAATGCTACATGCAACTCGTGATGTCCCGGGAGGGTTGATATACATGGCTCTGTGGTAGACTGATCCTACTACATTTGGGAACCGAACATCATATTAATTATGCCAAAATAAATGCACATTGCATTACTACTTATGTAAAAATTTAACATAATGTTTCACACACAGTGTGGATAAATTCTTTTTTGAGACACTTTATCATATGACAGCTGTAAGGAAGCCATCAAGACAAGTGCTTTTGTGCTCTAGTGCTGAACTTAAATTTATCAAACACACAGTACTGTATATTGGTTCCTTTCACAAAAGAGGCTCAAATAAAAGTAATTTTGTCTCTTAATCTTACATATATCACATATACAGTATACTCCACTTGTCTATAACCCTATAACAAGAATAATATGACCAGAAGAGTTGTAAAAAGTATCTGACTCTGTTACCTAAGTAAAAGTATTATTACTGGCAAAATGTCGACCAGTGACCTTTTCATATACTGTACCTAACTTGTCAACAATGCCAGCAGCAATGTAAATAGATCTAAATGAAAGGAAAATTATCTGTAGATTTAAAGCAGCATATACTGCATAGTGAATGAGGTTCTGTTCTTCATGTAGCAATATAAAGAAAGAATTTAGGGGTATGGTAGGCTTGCCTACCATACCCCTAAATTCTACCATGAGCATATACTGGGTAGCATTAATTTTAACCCCTCAAAAATATTATGTGTATATGTAGTTTGACACTCTACTTTTTGCATAAATATTTGATAATAAAAACTTGAACTATGCTCAAGTGTATTTGATAATACTGTAAAGTAGAATAGGGATGAGTAAACTCTTTGCATACAGCACCACAAAAAGTCTTTTGATGTATGGTAGAGTCACACTTACATGATAACTTTTGTTACAAAGGCATAATGCTACTATTGTATTGCCAGTGATACTGTTATGTAAAAAAAGGATCTTCACTGCCCAGTCGGTGTATTCGTGTCATATTGGTTCTTCACGGGCTGCATATCTGGTCATGTTATCCATCATAATTAAGTATAGGGGAGGGTTTCTACTGCCCTGCTGTAGATCGCTCTCTCTCACACACACACTGACTCTCTCTATTCATTCTTACTATAATATAAACACTGGCCATTAGTGATGGCTCATTATTAGTCTTCAAAAATTACGGTGGCAGAGATTAACAGACTTTGTTTTACCTTTTCTCAGTGTACTGTTAGGTGGGTGGTTCACTCTTTCTCAAGGCTCTTCCCAATAAAATGCAGGGTAGAGGGACCTAAGAGAGTACACACAAATTCTCTCCTCATTTACAGTCATTCCTTCATCCTCACTGCTGTAATAGGTATGTTCTGCTATGCTATTTCCTGTTCACAAATACAGCAACTACATACACCCTCGCATTGAATGAATTTATGCAAAAAAAAGGTGATAAATAAACTAATTAAGATAATGGAATTTTGTTCTCAACACTAGACATTGGGTTCACTAGATTAAACACTTATTGGCAAGTCATTAATACTAGTTTGGGCACTCAACACAAACTGCTCGACTTACTGGGTCCTCCAACTAATGTTTCAAGGTACCAGAGGAGGGTGTGTCCTTTCTCATAAGGCACAGTGGAGAAAGCATCATCTGGATCCACCCCAGTCAGGTCTGGTATGAGACACGTGAGTGGGTCATTCTCACCCCTTGTGCGGATCTTGAGCGTGGAAAAGAAAATCATGCTATTTAGGAAGTGAAAGTGTGACTAAATCATTAACACAACTGTGTGTTTATATATTGTAAATAAATTTTCTTTACTAAATTCTCAGCTAGTCTGAATCATAGCGACAAGTGTAGCATTAAAATGTTATGTGTAAGAGGTTGAAGATAAGCTTCAGTAAACAGTAATATAAAAGGTAAAACAATTATTTATGTTCAGTAATATTAGAAAAGCTCACCAAAGATAAGTTATACACTTTGTATACAATCTTGCACACCTAATATTGACTCCAATTACAAATATAATGGCCACTTTTTGGCCATCTGTGTAGTGGTTTCATTTCTCCATCAATGAATTATATACCTTGGTATCTTTTTATTGATAATATGTCTAAGGTTACTTCTTACTTTTACTACTTAAATATAAATTAAACTCGATTAATTTTTTTACTTTTACCGTACTTAAATATACTTTCCGAATACTACTTTTACTTCAAGAAAAGTAACTACTCGTCAAAGTAGCTTTATTTTAACATGAGGAACACATGTCAGTACTCTACACACTTCTGCATGGAACTTACACTTCATTCATGGATATTCTGACTCATGCAACCTTCTTGTGTCTCAACTACAAGTCTGCCTGTGATCTAAACCTGCACTCAACAGTATACAGCACATCTCTAGGCTTTTTTCACAAAACATAACAATGAGGGTTGTATAATACTCAGTAAGGTAACAGTATGGGGTAAAATTTTCTCTCAAAAAGAAAATAAAAGAAAGTAAAACCTTGATAGAACATGTTTTTAGGTACTGTCTCACATGAGCAGCTGGTGAAGATTGGACATTTGATTTAATATTCTCAACAATTTAAACTACCTGTATCGTACAATGATGGCTTTGTGTGAATGACCATCAGTTACAGTCTGCCTTCACTATGGTACTAAGATATACGTACGGTAGACAAACTTGATTTATAGAAGACAATAAAACCAAAAATTATTGTAAACCAAATATTAATGAGAAAAAGAAGAATTATAAAATATATGATTATTATCAAATCAAAACTAAATGCAATAATGTCTTCACTAAGGGAACCTTACCCTAGCTGAACACAGTACCTGTATAACCTCAGATATCCGGCATTTAACCATCTGGAACTTTAAAGCAAACGTCATTTGTTATTTATTTTTTGGTTGGGTCAATTTCCAGTAAGTAATGTCTAATTACATTTAAAAAAATTAAGAAAATCGTTTGAATTTGGGGTCGCTTTGGTCGTGGTTCCATTTCTGGCCACTAGAGGCGCTGTGTGCATCCTCCATGTTGGCCAAACACACTGGGTGCTGCCATTACAGTGCCTTTAGTGAAGAGAAACTTGTTTTAAGTGTAATAATCAGGAACTTAACAAGCCTGAAAAATAGTAGTGAACTAAGTGACTACTGCACCTGTATTTACTCAAGCTCAACAAGTAACTGTATCTGCTACTGTACAGTAGAATTACACACACTAATGCAGTGTTACATAATGAGTGAGTACAGCTCTTTTATTCCTTTTATAATATTTACTATGACGTTCTTCAGTTTGAGATGAGTATTTATAAGAGTGACTCATGCATCCGGAAAAAAAACGATTATCCGGCACAGGCAATTTTCCATGCATTCTGGATATCTGAGGTTTTACTGTATACAGGGGGTCCCCAACTTACGAATGCCTGCTGATACAAACAGGGTTGAACTTGAAATTAACAGTACAATATTTTATTTACCTGATGACTTATTTTTTACTTTCATTTACTATATTTTGTCATTCTATTTCTCCTTTTGTCTTAAATTAAGTGACTGTATATGTATATAAGGACTTAGGCTATGATATAGTAGGATTAAACATTGTTCTGTAAGTTCGGTATGCACATAGCATGTGCTCCGACTTACGTACAAATACGACTTAAGAATGTCGTCAGGAATGGAACCCATTCGTAACCTGGGGACCCCCTTATAAATATATACAGTACTGTATATCAGGAAAACTACACAACTCACACATTCAGCCAGATCCTTCCATCCTCCTATTGCTGCGAAGTTTCTTGTGGCTTCACCACACATGCGTCCAGCAATCTTACGCTCCACAAACATAGTAAAGCCCTCGTTAAGCCAAAAATGCTCCCACTGGCAGTTGGTAATCAAATTACCTGTCCAGGAGTGGCTGATCTCATGGGCAACAACATCGGCCAGAGAGCGATCTCCTGCCTGCGGAAGACACCAAATGAAAACAGAAGCACCGTGAAATTCTCTTCAGACTTACAGCATCAGCTAAATCCTTCCATCCCCCAAGAGCAGAAAATGGCCTCGCTTTTTCTCCGTGCAGCCGTCCAACAATTTTCCTCTCAATGAACTTAGTAAAGCCTTCATTGAGCCAAAAGTCTTGCCAGTTAGAATTTGTCACTAGATTGCCAGTCCAGCTGTGTGTAATTTCATGGGCAACAACATCAGCCAGAGAGCGGTCACCTGCCTTTCATTTAAAAAAGAAAACTTGTAAAAAGTTGTTAACGAAGATAGATTACCTGTACAGTATAAGTAAAAACAAAAATTATCTGTAAATAGAACATAGATTATCAGTAAAAAGGAAGAGATTATCAATATGCAATTCTACCGTGACTGTTAATATATTTTCTCAAAACAGTTAAATTAACCAATAGACAAATCTTAATTTACCAAACTTTTTATGTCTATTCTTGATGGTTCAATTTTTTTTTATTTAATGTAGCTACACATAATGATTTAAAATCTACAGCCAGCTGTCATGTAAGCTAACAGTGACACTGAAAATATAGTTTTACAAGTTGAAGCTTCCATGGATGCTGTAACTACCAATCACCACCACCTGAGATCCTACGAGGATTTGGTAAGCAGGAAATGCAATGCTACTTAATTAGATAAATTTTATGCCCCCCCCCCCACAAAAAAAAAGTAAAGGCTACATTAAAGTGGTATATGTTAGCATGTACTGTATCTTACCAGCAGTGTAGGAGTGACAAATGTTAGACACGGGTTCTCCATACCACCATAAGGGAAGCTTGGAGGCAGGATCAGTAGATCATACTGCCCCCACACATAGTCTCCACACAGTGACTCTGCAGTTTTCAGCATTGTCTCTGTCTGAAATCAACATTTACAAGAAGGTTCAAGAATATCTATGTACTGTACTGTATCATACACAATTATATTCTTATGTCAATGGGAAACTTAAATGATATCATTTAATTAATTACTATATTTTACCCAAACTTCTTATGATAAAAACTTCATGTTATAAAAATATTCATTTGTAACTACTAATATATGGATAAACAATGGAAGAAATTCCTTTTGGATAACTAAAGTATTAATGCTCACCTCAGAGAACTCAAATTCAGCTTTCTCAACATACTCCTTCTCTGACCACACCAGTGAGCGCGGTCCAATCTTCCTGCTCTCCAGAGCTCCCACTGCTATTGCTATTAAGTACGAAGGCATAGGTACTGGCTGCCGAAACCTTCAAAATATACAGTGAAGTGGTGTAACTAACCCTGCATTTCCTATGACCACAGATGATAAAGGGGCCATTTTAGCACCATCATCTGAATCAGGCTACAGTTCAATTGGTCCTCAGTCCTAACAGGCCCTAACATAGCCAAGGCATTACAACTGGGAGTCCATTAGGATTGGACCCATGAATTTACAACCAGACATGGGGTCAATTATGAATTGAATTGGAATTGATTAATTAAGTCTGTGAATTGGAACTGAATTAGAATTGAAAAAATACAAAATTAAAATTAATTGAATTGAATTGGAATTGATAAGAATTGATATGAATTGATATGAATTGATGTAATGAATTGATAAAATATATTATACCGTCATGACTATGACAATGAAGTGCAAGACATTCGTGACCTTCTGTCTGTGAAATACAATATGGCAGGCAGTGTTGATCCTACAACAACAGACACTTCCCCTGCTGAACCACCACCGATGAAGAGGAACAAGTTCTTTGCCCTGGCCAACCGGTCTTCTACACCAAGACCAACTCCATCAGAAACTGAGGTCTCACTCTACCTCAACCAGCCATGTCTACAGGAAGATGGTGATCCCCTTGGCTACTGGAAGGCCAAGCAACCTGAGTTTCCTGTCCTCACCAGGCTTGCAGCAAAGTACCTGGCCATTTCTGCTACATCAGTTCCTGTGGAACGACTTTTCTCCATGGCTGGCAAGCTCTTCGGGCCAGAGGTGCAATTTAAGCGATAAAAGATTTGAGCAACTTATGATGATCAGATGCAATCCTCAGTAACTTGGACTCATTCATATTTTGTTTACTAATACAAAGAATTAAAACATTTGAACTTTTGGTTGGTAAAGAATGTGATTGGTTTGTGTGGTAGAGCATTTTTGATAAAAAATAAAGAAGTTAATTTGAAACCTTGAATTTTTTTTCTTTCCATTAGATTAATGGTAGATTAGAATTGATTTTGAATTGAAAAGCACTGGAATTAATTGAATGAAATATCGACCATAATGAATTGAATTGGAATTGAAAAGCTTGTGAATTGAATTAAATTGGAATTGAAGATTTCATTTTTACGAATGAATTGAATTGGAATTGATTAATTCAAATTTTATTCTGAATTGGAATTGAATTGACAAAAATTAATTGACCCCATCTCTGCTTACAACTTGACCACACTCCAAACAATGTAGTTATATTGGGTTGAGACCTATTTGGACTGGGACCAATAAGATCACTAACCTCTTATTTACTATGACTTAAAAGTTAAAACAAGATCGAGCTTGCATGGTGCTGTGTTTAGTTTACTATTAAAAATAATCACAAAGGCTGCACAAGCGATACCTTTCACTAGTACGGTACAGTACAATGAACTAGAGTGATCCAATGATTTATGGAAAGCTCACATGTTGAACCAACTACATAATAACACACAAACATGGAGAGGAAGAAGATTGTTCAGAATGAGTTCCTCTACAGATCATTGTTTACTAAAGTCAATACTGTACTGTCTATATGAAAGTAATACTGAGGGAGAAAACTGTGGAGATGTACCAAAACTAAGTTGTCCAGAGTATTCACCTTAGTGTCCAGGTACAGTTTAGTTATTCAATCTATTTAACCAATTTTCAAAAATTCTCTCAATTTTCCTCCTCTCAATTTAATATGAATTAAACAAAAATAAGCAAAAACATAATACAGGTAATGTACAACTAATGAATCCTCTACCGACCTGTAGACTGCACGGTTCTCCTTCTCCTGTTGACCGTCTCTAAGGGCACTCATGAGCACCACAAGACCAGAGGGGGCGCTTACCTCTGCTGTGTATGGTATCTTCACTGCTGGTGAGTCCTGCAGGTGAAAATATATTTAAAGTAAATTTTTATTAACTGAAACATAAAATTCCACGTACATGATACATTCTCCAACCTAAATTTTTGGAGGCCATAGTTTATTCACTTGGTTTACCCGTTACTTCATATTATAAATTAATAAGTCAGTAATGAAGCTTAACAGTTCAGTGAGCATTACCTGACATGGGACCAAGGAGCGGCAATGAATGGCTTGACACTGAGAGAAGACATAAGGATGTTGCTTTCCGGCTGTCTGCTCTGGCGCCAGCCACTGCAGGGCGGAACAGCTTGGAGAAGTTTCATACTCTATCTGTATCTTGAACCTGCAACACAAACCTGCATTAGCAAACACCATCCACAGAAGGAACAAGAACACAAACTGACACCATTAATAATTCAAGCTACAATACTGACATATAAGGAAATAACTGACAATTCTTTGGATGATTTTGTAGGTAGAAACACTTAAACGGTGAAATACATATGGATAAAATAAATGTGGCTTTAACACCAAAACATCTATAGTAGCTATGGGTGAGAATGTATATGACAAAAATAAAATAAAATTAATAGCATAAGCAATGGTTATCCTTAACACACTAACAAGGAAAATAAGATGTGTGAGTGGAGTGAAGGAAGGACATAATATAACCAACAGGTTAGAAAAATGTAAAATGACCTTGACATTAATTTGCTGTCAAGGGGAAATTAGTAAGCAAGATACTGTACAATTAAAACTCTTGCATTACATTACTTGATAAACCTGGACTGTTTACCCCAGTGTTGTATTTGTCATGTAACAGCCAACACTTCAAGACATACCATAAGTTAATATTATAAACACGGATCTCATTTTCACTCCTACTGAAGCAGTGCAATTATTCCACCTCTTCATTCTCTTTTACCTTCCACATTTATTATTTATTATTAGTTAAGTTCACATTCTGCCTCTGTAATGCTTCCCTTCCCTCACCTAACCACTTCACTTCCTCTTTGTTTATACACCAGCGTAATATTGTGGATCATGTCTACTGGAATTATTTTGTGTGTGATGGTATTTGCCAGAATAAACCTGATGACCTAATGTAGCAGGCACAGTAATGATATGAAACACTGCAAATCACTGTGCAAGGTAAGGAATCACTTCTTATAGTGCATGATTAAAATGATATGAACAAAGGTGTGTGTAGTGTATCCCTACTTGGTGTCCGAGCCTCTTCCAGTCACTCTTCCCTACTGCAGTACTTTCTATGAGGCTTCTTTATCCCTTGATGTTCTCCACACTTGGTTGGGAGAGGAATACAGATGATAGATAGAAAATGGTTGATAATTAAGAAAAAATTATGACTTTTCTTTAATTCTAACCTAATACTGTACATGTAGCATGAAGTGGATGGTTTGACTGGTGTGTCATTTATCTTAAGATAATTACAGAGCAAGTTGTTGAACAGCCACCAGGCACTTTAATAATAGATGTTGATAAGCTTATCACTACAACACCTTATCCGAGAGCATACCCAACTCTCCCATCAACCATTGGTGACTTAAGGTATTCAGCTGGACATACATTACAAACAAATGTTCTTTAACTTAAACATGGGAGAAATCCCGAGTCTATGCAGTATGGAAAAAAAAATGTTTACTAGCAGACATCACTTGTTAAATGAAGGAAGAGTACTTTAATAAAAAGAATAGGTTTATATCTACTTATAGGGCAACTGATTGTTTCATCCACATCAAGTCTAATTCAACAGTAGACTCTTCAGTACAGGTGTGAGTTTACTAGTTTTATAGGACAAGTGTGTGTGTGTGTGTGTGTGATAGTAAAGCATACTGAGGAAGAGTCTGAATAAGCCAGCTACAATAAATGTGCTATGAACTGTATATTACAGTATATAAATAGGTACTGTACAGTATTAACTTTCTAACAAAGTTATATGACAGGATGATCACTATTGACTAAATCTCAAAACACGTCAGTGTCAAAATATGTAGGTAAAATGACATTCAGAATATCAGTGTAGTACTGTACTGTGTACTACAGGTAACATTACAGTACAGAACATGAATATAATTTATCAAGAAACCTTTACAGTATTAACAAGAACCATGAGCTTCTTCCCACAAACAAATAAAATAAAGAAATAATAACTCTGAAATGGATTGTAAATACTGTATAAAGCTTTACTCTCATGAACCTCAATTCACTGCCAAATAAAAAAAAAATCACTTTACAAAACACACTGGTAGGTTCACCACTAAGTCTGCACTTACTTTTTCTTTGCATCTGAAGGCAAAACTATCTTGAGATCTGATCCAAAATTGGGATGGGCTTCTCCCATTGCATACTGAAGTACTTGTCCTGTTTCCTCATCTTTTACACTTTTTATGGTCAGGTCTCGTGTATCAAGAATCTAGAAAAAATAAAATAAAAAATTAGATCAACGCAAAGAAAAAATCTCCAAAATATAAATATTGTACCAAATTTTAATTATATATATTATATTTTCACAACATATCAGAATATGACCATCTTAAAGTACAATGAGAGAGAAAGAGTAAGTGTGTTGAAGCCTTGACACATGTGAAGCTTTACAAAGGTACAGTATAGAAGAACACACCAAGTGGACAGCATCATCTTGTTTACGTTCTACAGTAAGTGTAGCCGTACCAGACACAATTTTGCGTGAGAAGTCCACATCCCAGTTCAGGTGAAGTGATGACACCACAACTTGGTCTGATAATAATAAATGATAAAGTTAAAGTAACAAGAATTTGGTTATTATTCGGTTTAGCACATCTTCAAATTGCATAGAAGCACTTACTTTTAGGCAATTTCTACCTCATATATACATTCCTCAACCCTTGAAGCCTCTTGGAAACATGTTACTTTCAGAAAAATCTCACAAGTGAGGAATTCCTAAGAAAAATTTTAGATCAGTAAATCTCCACCCACCATTTCTTGTCCCACCGCAAGCTGGGGTTAGGGTTCCCTGCAGGGATTAGGTTAGGTAAAGGTAGGTTAATTCAGTGAAAGTTAGGGGTCTATATGTTTGGTTTCTGATGTTTTTGGATGTTTTTTGTTCAGATCTCTCCTTCGTTTTTGATGGAAAATAGCTGTTTTTGATCAAGGATGACCAGCATTTTTTTAAATGACACATTTCCCATTGAAACGAAGGTCAGATCTGAACAAAACACATCAAAATACACCAGATATCAAACATCTCATGAAAAAATTCGAGAGTGTGTTAAGCTGAATAATTACCTAGAAATTTATTCTACAGTACTGTACTGTACAGTATCTACGAATATACGACCAACACATACTGTACACACAAAGTACAGTACAGTAGTAAGCAATAGACGGGTGAATTTATAGTTTTACACCGGTCTTTCTTTCGCTGTTAATAATATGTATTTCATAATGTTTAGACAATTCGACGACATTTTTCTTCTATGATATTTCCACCGGAAATTATGGATAACCGAGATATTAAGATATTAATTTTTCAAGATTATTACTTTTGCTCATTCACAAATGTCGCCATGCCTTGTTTACATCTGGCGGAGGTGGTCTGACACCCGCTTCAGACCTCCGAGTTCGCTTCTTCAGCGTCTACAGTGCATGTGCGGCGGGGATGGGGAGGGAGGGGGGGTGAAGTGGGAGTTTCTCATTGGCTATACAGATAGGAGTATTTTTATTGGTCAATTTTTTGTTTTAGCCAATGAACAATGAGTGGGTGGGTCAGGAGGGGAGATTTAAATTTTGAGTGTCAGATATGGCTGAACAGTTGGAAGAGCTGTGCCGTCATTGTGAGAATGATTATTTTGTATCAATTGCAGAGTTACACCAGAAAAATAATGTGGCAATTAAATTTTTTTTTTATAAAACACGGTGTATTACCGAATATACTACCTGTATAGTTCTTTGTCCAAAGTGTAATAACTAGTGTGCACTGCGTGAAGAACAGCATATTTGGCAGTGTCAATAGTTTTACAGATTAGGGTAAGATGTGGGGGCATGAAGAACGGGGGGTTAGGTTAGGTTTTCTTGGTTGTTTAGTATTTTATTTGATTTATTCGAAAAAAGAAAAAATTCCAACTTTTTCCGTTATGATTGTTAGGTGTGGTTGATTATCTAAAAAAACAAGTGATTCTGCCGGGAAATGGATATCACATTCGTTCAAAACTCCTCAAAAACCATAGAAAAAACCTATCTTTAATATCAAAATAAAGACCGGAGTGATACTATAAATTGACCAATGGATGTTCCAAGGTTGTGCACTGCCTTATTCTGACAATACATAACTGTACAGGAGTTACAAACATGGAGTGCATCATGAAAGGTCAACTTAGGTAAGATAATTCATACAATATAATTTTTTAACGTTACTTTATTTACAGTATTTACATTATTAACCAACAGCCAATGGAAGAATATTTAACATAGAAACCTGTCACCGTTTTCAGTGTTATATTTTAAATTAATATTGTTTCATTACCTAACTAACCTGTTTAAAATCATGTGTCTGATGGTATTAGAATTCAACAAGTGAGTTTTAAGAATACTTACCTGGCCTGGAGTATGAGTTAGGATCTGCAGGACTGAGTCGCTTCATTTTTTAGTATAATTTTGAGATAATCTGTGAGGACGAGACCAACCACTGCTCCCTCACACCTCACACCTCACCTGTAAACAAGTCTTCAGTGTTGCCAAGTCTCAGAAATAAAATTCCCATGTCATACCCAATTTCCCTCACAAAAATCCCCCCCACAAATCTATACCAAATTCCAAAAAAAAAAATCCTACATATAATTTAGGTCTATATTAAAAAGAAGATTTATACTTTCATTGACCAGTACTCATTGAATATGTAAATCTTGTCTCTATAGGCCCAGGGCAACTATTTCGTCCACAGGTTCTAGTTTCTATCACTGGCATATCTTTGATGGCGAAATTCTTTATCATTTCAGTAGTTGGTATGAAGTTTGCACATGTCTTTGATGCCACCTTTAAGTCTTTAACCCATAGCGAATTTGTAGAATGGCTTCCACCGATCTAACACAGGGGATTTCTGAGTTTTGTATGGACTTCGTTCATTTGCGAAAATATTCTCTCATCTGTTGCATTAGAATATGTTAGAGAAAGTAAAGCGTTCTTCCTGTCACCAATAAGATAGGCTCCGGGGTTGGAGTCCTGTAAGCTTGACTGTGATCGCTCGTCTTGACTTAAGGCACTCCACTTATTTTCCAAGTCATCCATATCAATAAATGTTGAGCTGTATTTGGAAGCCTCTTTTGAAATGCTTTCCTTTTGACAGAGAAGTAGCATGGCTTGGTTGCAATTGGTGTAGTTGGAGCAAGGTTTCACAGTTATGTGGAAAGCACGCCTGCACTTCACTGATAAATTCTATGACAAACTTTCTACAACACTCTTTGATATACTTATAATGGGTTCACTCAGAAAGCTATTCACAACTGCGTTACTGAACTCATGATCAAACTAAATTGAACAAGGTGGCTCCCATTATTTATTTAACAATGTTTGTCTCACTTCCTACAAACTCCCACAAAAATTAATTCCCATAACACCGACGGTATTACTTTGCCCCATTTCTCCCACAGATTCGTGGGAAATTTCTATGATTTGGCAACACTGCAAGTCTCCCTGCCATGTCGGGAAATAGTCACACTAAATCACATTTCCAAACCAGCCCCAAAACCGCCATATGACAATTCTTTTTTCAATATTCATTCTCTCTAATAATAATAATAATAATAATAATAATAATAATAATAATAATAACGCTCCTCAAAAGATGTTTATCTCGGTTTGGAGTACTGTTGTGGGAATACGTGATGTTTGGTGGGTCACTCCGGGGTCACCATTTGTGGGAATACGTGATGCTTGGTTCACACTCAGGATGGGATGGAGGAAGGAAACTCACAATGTGCTCTCTGTATACATATTGTATTGGATGTACAATGCAGCTTGGTGCTGGGAAGGCAGCGTGGTTACAAGCGTGATGTAGAGAGAGCTGGTTGGTGAGGATGCTCTGAGGCATACACTGGGGAGTTCGCGGGGTCGGCTACTCAGCGACATACACCTGGGGGGGTCCAAGATCAAATTATCACTGTCTATCTTTACTTTTAACCTCCTCTTCACCCCAGATCGGCTCGTTAGCCGCGTGGGCGATCGGTTACGTCTCTGTTACGCACTGTTGGCAAGTACTGGGCATGAACTGGCTCCTGAATGTATGTGAACCTGCTCCAGTACTTGTCAAGTTTGGTCTTAAAAGAGCTCACACTCGGTGCCGTCACAACACTCTCTGGCTATCCCATGACTGTTCTGTAGCTTTTAGTCAAATTTCTAATTGTATTACGTGGTTTGTTAATTACAACATTAATAACATTGTCAACACCTGGAGATTACTTTACGTGTGTAGTTACCACCTGCACATTCCTACTTTATTGGTATTGCTGAATAAAGGCTCTAAATTAACATTTCCATTCAGTGATGGCGATATATATATATTTTTTCATTTATGGTTATTATCTTATTTGTTTGTCTCCTATTGCTTTAGTTACTCTTATTTTTATTAAATTCTGAATTTTCTTTCCCATACTTCTATAAATTGCTATAGGTTCCGACTCTTATCTTCCAGCGTTTATTACACTTTAGTACGATCCATCACCATCTAAAGGCTCTCCCCCATCAGAGTTACAGTGTCCAAACACCCACGGCCGCCCACCTCTACCGCAAGCAATGGTAAAACAGCAGCCACACACCACAGAGGAGGTGGTCTGCCGTGTCACGCTGTTAAATGCACAGCCTGTGGCCGTTTTATTGTTCTCAGCGACCAGAGTCAAGGAAAAGTGGATAAGACGAGGAGGGGTTTTTGTTTTTAACTTCACTCCCGCTTGCTGTTGTGTCCGAGTCAGGGCCGGATTCAGGAGTGGGCAAAGTGGGCAGCTGCTCAGGGGCCTCCACAATCTGGGGGCCTCCACATATTACAATATTTACAATAAATACTTATTCTGAATCTATCTGACCTTGGACTTAAAGAAGCCTATACATGCATTCTTGGACAGAAACATTATTTGAGTAGAGGTTTATCTGATTAATAATGCAAAGAATCATCTCTCTATAATAACTAATAATATATTCTTTTCTGTGAAGTCTCTTGAAAATTTTTGACATGTGCGGTAGTAGCTATATCAGGGCTGGTCGACTTGAAACCACATGAATGACTCCAGTCATGTCTCACTTTTGTGTGTGTGTGTGTGTGTGTGGGAATTTGTACACTATCAATAAATATACAGTTAATTAAAAATTTCTCAATGTTCTAATTTCCTCAATATAACTGCATATGGCTTCAAAATTCTCCAAAGAAGTGTTCAAATTTCAAAATTTTCCCGGGGGGCTTACAGCGCCCCCCGGAACTCCCAGATGTTTAGGCTCGCTTCACTCACCACTCCACCCTCTTGGGTAATTATAATGAGGGGGGCCTCCACAAAGAGGCTGCCCATGGGCCTCCACAGGTCTAAATCCGGCACTGGTCCGAGTTATAGATGACCACTTACTGTATCCAGTAAAATCGCCATATATTGATTCAGCATGTATATAGACAGTTTAAATATACTCACAATGCATAATTATGTCAATACAGGTATATAAACAATATACATAGTGCCGATATACAGTATAATATTTACTTTACTTTTATCCTCTTCACCACTAATCGGCTCGTTAGCTGCTAGGGCGGTCGGTCACGTCTCTGTCACGCACTATTGGCAAGTACTAGTCATGTACTGGATCTCTGTTACGCTCTGTTGGCAGTTACTGGGCATGCACTGGCTCCTGAATGTACCTGAACCTGCTCCAGTGTTGATCAAGTCTGGTCTTGATAGAACTTACACTCGGTGCCGTCACAACACTTTCTGGCAGAAATATAATTTACATAATACAGGTACACAAACATTATGCATAAACAGTGTAGATATATGAAGTACATAGATAATGCAGGTACACAAATGTGAGTTCAGTATAGATGGATGCGACTCATTTACGAATCTTTCTCAAGCAACTTGCGAGAGGGGTGTGATTATTTATGTTAGGCAAGACCTTAGAGCCAGCCAGGTAAGAGTACAGGTAGAGGATGTTTTTGAAGAGTCCAAGTGGTGTAAAATTAAATTAAAGGAGACTGACTAACTTATTGCCGGGTGTTTCTACAGATCCCCAAACTGTAGCTTATTAAACCAAAGGAACTTAAGAGCCTTAATAGACAACGCAACGGTGCTCAACACTAATCACCTCCTTGTCATGGCGACTTCTACTGGAGAAACGAGACGACGCCAAATGACCCCTCTATTTTTGGGGGGGTAGAAACTCTGAGATATAATTTTCTGTTCCAACATGTTAAAGATCCGACTCATTACAGAGGGGAACAAACAACCAAGCCACTGGACCTCATCATAACTAACGAGGAGGGTATGGTGGCCAAGCTATAACACCTAGCCCCAGTTGGCACCAGTCACCACGTAACGTTGTCCAGGCCAAGGTGCAAATATTACAATGAAAATTACGACGGGATGACGGAGTATATGGGGAGTATCCACTGGCCTGACTCACTAAGGCAAAAGAACGCAGACACTGCGCTGAATATCATAGCCAGTAAAGTGAACCATTTGATCGAGACGTGGGTTAGGACAATCGATGAGCAGGACAGGAGGATGTATGCCAGATCCAGGAACCAAGCAAAGGCAGAGTGTAGAAGGAGTTCTAGAGGCTGATTGCAAGTGAGGTCAAGTCAAACCCAAAGGCGTTTTACCGCTATGCAAACTCGAAATTGAAAATGCGAGTAGGAGTATCGGATTCTGACAATGAAAAAGCAGAGGGGTTGAACAGTTTCCTTTCCTTGGTGTTCACAAGAAAGGATGCGAACAATCTTCCTGCGTTTGAGACTGACGGTTCGACACAGCACTGACCCACATTGTGTTCACAGAAGAGGGTATTAGAAATAAACTATCAAACCTAAAGGTTCATAAGAGTCCCGGCCCTGACATGATGCATCCCAGAGTGCTAAGAGAGTTGTGCAATGAGCTTGCTGAGCCCCTGAAGATCCTGTTCTGTAAATGCCTCGATTTGCAAAAGGTTCCCAGTGATTGGAAAATGGCTTATGTGAGTCCTATTTTCAAGAAGGGCGATCGACACTCCACGAATAATTATAGACCGGTGAGCCTGACCAGCATAGAGTGTAAAGTACTTGAGAGCATTATAGGATATGCCATGATGGAACATCTACTACGAAACAACCTTGTAAAGGATTGCGAACACGGTTTTATGCCGGGACGCTTCTGCTTAACACAATTCCTCAAGGTACTGAATATTTGGACCTAAATTCTGGAACAGAGTGGCAATATCGACAATATATACATAGATTTTGCCATGGCTTTCAACAGCGTACCCCATGAAAGGCAGAAAATTAAACTAGAAGGGTACGGGATTTGGGGAAATGTCATAGCGTGCATCAGAGACGTTCTCTATGATCGCAAGCAGTGTGTGGCGAATAATGGCACGAAATCGTCTTCTGTACCCATGACAAGCGGGGTACCACAGGGCAGTATATTGGGCCCGCTCTTGTTTGTTTGCTTCATAAATGACATGCCAGTTGCTACGCTCCTCCAAACAAATATTTGCTGATGATGCCAAGTTATTT